CAAGGCTGATAATACACTCCCCATTTTGGAATTATTCTATAGCGTCATGCCTGATAGCCAATACTCCAGGTGGATTTTGCTTTTGCATCTTGTCCCAGAGAGCTGAGACTTGGGTCTCAGGCAGGCAGCCTAGACAAATCCTCCAACTGCCCGTCATTCCCAACCCTTCTGTAGCTCCCATCAAAATCATCTTTCAGACAGAAGCTGAGAATTGGGAGTCTGCAGTCAAGTGGGCAGGGGGGCTTCTAAGGACACCCCTCTTGTGCTGTTCAACCCCTGCCTATAGTTGAACTTGCACATGCATGTGTGGCATGATTGGCATGTTTATTTTTTCTAAAACCTAAAGCTCTAAACTGAGACCCTACTAATCATTGTGACAGGGTAGGAGGTAAGGTAGGGGCCAGCTATTATCAGAGGGCTCTCTGAGCAGCTCCCCAAGGCCTCACCCAGACCTGGGGAAAAAGATCCCCTTCCCCCCTCAGCCTTTCTAATAGAGGTGGCTCAGATAGGGCTGGAGAACCCTGACTTGTGTTTAGCTTAGAAAGCCAAAGAATATGGGTTAAAATGCTGAGTGATGTCCTAAAGGGAAAAAAAAATTTGTAACTTGAACTTACTTTAGTTTGAAACTATGTGAGTGACTGTCACACTTGTCTGCTATAAGACGCAGATTCTGACAACTGTACTGAGGCGCACAGCTGGCCTGGAGAAGCCTCAGAGTTCTGCATAATCATGCACACCTGCTGGGAGGCATCCTCTTTCATTATTACTTCCATGATTCTTTCCTAGATGCATTCATTTGCTTAACGTAATTCAAATGATAATGAGGCTTTCAGACTCCTATGAGAGGAGAAAACGGAAAAGTTGCAAAAGTATGTAGAACTTTGTATAAATTCTCTACAAAAGTATGTTTAGGCACAAACATTGCTGTGTGAGAGGCAGTTTTATTCGCTTTTGAGAAATCAAACCTTTGGACTAAACTGTCTCGCATTTCAAGCCTGGCTCTTCCCACCTCCCGGCTGTGACACCCTGAGCAAGTTCCTTAACCTCTCTGTGCCTGTTTCCTTCCTGAAATAATGCTGCATACCTCATGGGGTTATTAGGAGGATTATGTGGATTAATACATGTAAAGTACTTAAAACAGGGCCTGGCACATAGCCAGAAAAGTCTCTTGTGTTAATTGACTGCTTACTGCTGGTTTCTGAGCATTATGAAGCTTTGGTGGTATTATATGTCATCTGGAGCAAGTTTGCCAATTTCACGAATATAGTTGAAGGAGTCAATTTTATAAAAGCTATACTCTGAGAATCATTGCAATCTGGTCATATATAGGAAAAGGTGAGGGTTTTGAGGGAAGGTTGCCTGTGGCTCCTAAACAGAAACATCGTTAGCACTGGGAAGTGAACAGATGGAGAACTCTAGCCTCTGCTATCCACAGTAACAGGCATACAAGTGGAAAGATACACAAGGTTATCTGAGGGTCTTTCATTTTAGGAGCCTAAGTAACCACATAGAAATTGGCATTTTCTTTGCTGATTGGATGAAGAAGTACCAAATGCTTGGATGAAGAAGTACCAAATGCCAAAGGGAAAGTAAAAACCGCAGGGGCCTTTTGACAAGCCAGCCCACATTTTCATCTGATGTGTCACCAGAGAGAAGCCTCCTACTTCTGTTCAATTATGTACATAAGACAAATCACAAGACGTAACCTGTCACAAATGCTAGAATTAAACCTGCCAATACAAACGGCGCTGGTAATTGCTTTTACAGAATTATAGCTTCAGTTACACATGCTGCCACAGATGCTCCAGCTCTGTACTTCCAAGGCACAGCCCCAGCATCAGCCGGTCAGAGCTCCAGGGAATGAAAACCTAGAGAATGACTTTCAGGACCCAAGAGAGCAGTGGTGTCAACTCAGTCTTGCTTGCAGTCACTGCATCCTAGGACTTGTGGGTCACTTCACATTAATGTTGAAATCTGTTTTGTTATCTGTTCAGAGGCCAACTTTTCCATATGAAATATACAGGCTTCAGTCTGAATATTCATCCACAGTACTTAAAGTTTTACTACATGAGTCACTTTAAACAATCTGTTTTCTGTGCCTGTTCCAAGTTCTTTGGAGAATAATAACTTCAAGTCAAGTCCTCTTGTCATGAGAGGAGATAAAAACAATCCCATGTCAGAAATAATTCCAATGCCCAAAAGTAGACGACTGGATTAAAAAGATGTGGTACGTATACACAATGGAATATTACTCAGCAATCAAAATAGATAAACTCACACCTTTTTCGGCAACAAGAATGAAGCTAGAAAAGATCATGCTTAGTGAAATAAGCCAGAAAGAAAAGAAAAAATATCGGATGGTTTCACTCATAGCAGGAGTATAAAGGACTAGGTGAGAAAATAATGGCAATAATGAACAGCTATATACCAGAGACATTTTACAGGGGTGCAGTGGGGAATGGGATCAAAAACGGTGGTGGTGGGGGGAAGTGTACTGGACTATGGTGATGGCACATGGGTGATTTGTTGATGGGAAGTCCACAGGGATTACAACTGAGATGGAAAAAGGCACAAAATGATGTAAAAAATAAACTATATTTTTTTAAAAGGAAGTGAATTTAGAAAATAATAATCCCATGTCTTACCACTAGTCATTTGCCAAAGAGTACACACTCTGGCCTTATATGATCACAGACCTACATATTAATACTAATCAGTATGTAAAACAAATGTCCCAACTCTTCTCAAAAGATACCAATAATCTTTCAACATGTACAGAATGCCATTGCATTACCTGAAGAATTCCAGTATGATTATAAGTCCCTTTCTTAAGAAATGAAGCTGATACACTAGTCTACTGAGCTATAACTCAGTACTGTTTTGTTTTTAAGATACTCACGTCAGGTGACTTGGTGATGGGAAACCCACGGGGATTACAATGAGATGAAAAAAAAGTACAAAATGATGTAAAAATAAACTATTATGTCATAAAAAAAAGATACTCACGTCAGTCGCTGTCTTTTATTGCTGAAGGAACAGATTATCGGGCTCTCTTGGTTCTTCAAAGAAAAGAAAAATTTCAAACATATATTTAGGCAAAGTAAAATACACACAGGTCTAGGGTGACTTGTACATGCTTCAAATTTGAGCAGTTTCCTGAAATGAACTCCCATGAGGCCACCACGGCCACATCAGAGGGTGCCTTTCAGATGACTCAAGTAAGAATAAACAGACAAGCCAAAGTTTAATTCAATTTTATTTCCACTTTTAGTATTTTTCAAATTATACAACATGCAGTCTGCCAGAATACCCATAATCTTCATTTTAGAACCTAGAACGTAACCCAAAATTTCCACAGGCCAACAGATCTTTTGTTACATGTACTATATTACAGCATCATGACTTAATAAAAACTGTCATTCTCCCCCTCAAACCACCAAAACAAAATTGTCCACAAATTTCTTTAATGAAATCTACTGTACAGATACATAAATCCCAGAGGACATATATCTGCAGTACACACTACATACTTTACAAACTAGACATGTATAAGTCTACAGAATGCCCTAATCCCCTTACATCTGCACACAATGAAAAGTATTTAAAATTGACACACAATCTGTCTGTGTGTGACAGAGGTCATGGAGTGATGCTTCCTTCGGCAATAACCTGGCCCTTATTCAATGCTTTTTTAAAGTCTAAATTATTCATGTGAAGTGAAGTCATTTTAGACTATGATGGTTCCCCGTAAGCTTGCTTGTGATACTGTGGGTGAGACAATGATGTGAACCCCCCGCCCTTACTCCTTGCCAGCAAAAACCTGCCAACATGTCAATTTGTCAGAGTCCAAATGTCTTCTGCCTTGGTAAAATATGCACTTCCACAAGGGGACCATTAGCAGTTACTCCTCTAGGAAAGGAGAGCTGATGAATCCCTGTGTGGATGTCCTCGGAATGGTTTGGTCTGGCCTTGCACAGGAATATCACTTCCCTATGTGAACTTAGGGCTTCAAAGTCACTAGATACTACATTCTAGACAAACATTTATTTCTTTGTTTATCCTAATATTTCTTTGAATCCCATCTTTCTCATTAATTAATCACAAGCTATTTTCTTTAAAAGTCTTAATCCACACTTCCTGTTCTCCCTGCTACCTGCCATTCAACAAAAGTAAACTGTAGAGCATTTGAAGAGATAAAATGTGTTTATATAGAATTCTCTAGGAATTAACCAAAACACATTTGACATTAATATATTTTACTTTCCAGCCATAAATCTTGATATCTCACACAGTATTCCTGTAACAATCCACCATCCTGCGGGTAGAGATTATTGTATAAACCATCTGGCTATTCCCTTAGAGCATCAAAGAGTAAACTTTCAAGAAGTAACATGAAATAAAAAAATTCATAAAAGAAAAACACACACACTAGCAAAAAGCAGTATACAACCAAAAATGTAACTACAGACATGACGTTTCAGAACAAAGATTTGTCTTAATACATTTAGGGTACAAATATAAGGAAGCAAGTTTTTAAAAATGAAACTGCATAAATGTGGCTTTTTAAAAAATGTCGGCTAGAGAGTATGTGGCCCTGGTATATTAGCTTATTACAGAAAGCCATATTTAGGGATCCGTTTGAATGTATTGACTTCAACAGTCTACTCCATTAATCTGCCTACCTTTTTGTGACAGTGTAGGAAAATTAGTTTAGACGTCCTACAAAGAATAAAGCTAGGTGAACTGACTGGCTGATCAGCAACTAGCAGAATCATCTTTAGGGGACATCAAAGCTAACTTTCTCTGTGAATAAGAATGAATTTTGTCAGTTCCTTGTAGAGATCAAAAAAATATATATATGGAACTACAAGTGCATGTTTCTTTTTGAAACATGAAAGGGCCAGGCAATCCTTTAGAAGTAGAAAAGAGGTACCCAAAGAAAATTTCCTTGGAAAGGATTTAAAATAAGGGAACCAAAAAAAAAAAAAAAAAAAAGACAAAGAGAGAGAGAGAGAAAGAAGGAAAAGTCATTAACCTTTGTTCAATTTCAAAACAAAGTGATATAGTTATATAAAGGACAACTGTGGCACAACAATTATTAACTGGCAATCCTCTCAAGGACCAGTGTTCCCGATTCTAAATTCAAGAGGCAAATATGTTAACAGCAAGGTTATAATCTATGGCATATGTCATTATCTGATAAGGTTTGCAAAATCTGCTCTATGAGGATCCTTCTAGCAGAATCAAAGTAACAACTGAGGTGTTGTATATTGGGTAGGTACTGGCCACAATGCAAGAATATCAAACAGAAGAATTTTTAAAATGTAAACAAATGTAAAATTGTCATACGAAATAAATACTTCGATAAAATTCATTCTCTCTCTCTCTCTCTCTCTCTCTTACTCCTCGCTCCCCCAAAGTAAAACACACACATTTTTTAAAAAGTGCAACATTTAACAAATAAATTAAGTCAAGCAGCTTTGCTTTGTTGGGAAAATTTTATACAAGAGTCTGGAAGTCAATTCACAGTCCTTACCACTTTGTCCCTTTATCCTCTCTCACACATATGTTCTTGAACTACCTTTGATCCACACAGCCACAAGGAAGAAGCCCAGTCTCCCCTGGCATGCATTTCATTCCAGCATTGACAGCAGCAGGAACAGTGCCAGCTCACTCATCTTGGGCAAACACAATGATAAGATGGGTGCTTTCACTGGTTTGGTTGTCACTGACTTACCTCAAATTTGTCACAAGTAGCAGCACACAAGACCAACTTAATTGAACCCTTGTCAGTTTCCCTGAAAACTTTACTACTTGAAAATCAATCATTTTAACATGTACAACTGGAAGTAAGGGTTGATTTAGCTTTAGATGCATGGTTTTGAAAAAAGCAATAGCTAAATGTAAAAATCCATCCACACTGATTTTTTTCTAATTCTGCCTAAGAAAAGGAAACTTATCTATTTGATGCCACAGAACTCAGTCTGGCATGATGGGTTTAAATAACTTATTTATGGCAACTTATTCATAGGCACAGAAAGTTTTCAATTACTTCCCCCCAGGGTTTCCATTGTCAATTGATGGAAAGATCCTAGATTTTGCCAACAATACCCCCTTCAAGGCTTAAGATGGATCCCCAGAGAAAGAGGCCAACCCCAATACAAGCTCCAGAAGAGTTGGGGTGGAGAAAGCGAGGAGATGGCAGCCTCACTTTCACTTTTCCAACTTGGCGGCATTTTCAACACAGCTGAAAGAATGATGTTCAGACTGGGCTGGCTGAGATTAGTTGCTGCAGGTTCAATAGCAAGCACTCAGAGGTGAATTTTATAACTTTTTGCATTCATGTAGATGCGTTTGAATGAACAAATTCTACATTGCTACTGTCGAGATTGTTTCTCTGCATTGAAGAAATTTGCTTTGCATATTAACGGGTGCCATACTAAAAGGTCTATTTTACAGATCCAAAGATGTGACTGGGATATTCAAAATGCTTCCTTGGGGTAATTTGTTTTGGAAAAGTGTTCAGAATGAAAAATTTAAACCCTATAGCAGCACGTTTTTTTGTTCCCTAAAAATATAAAGTAACGACGTGTTTCTTTTACAGGAAACCAGAGAGCCATGGCGGAGCATGAGGTCCCCGGTCGCCCCCACTCTTGGTGGTTCCCTCCAGGGAATGGCATGGTAGGGCACTGGGGGGCAGAGGCAGGAGCACCCAGAGACCACGCAAAGCCCTGAAGCCAGATCAGTGGTGATGGTTCCCGCGATCTTCTTACTCATCCCCTTCATTTTCTCAGGAAGAGAAAAGTCCAAGCACACATCTGTACACACAGAAATTCTACACAGCTCAATATCTGAAACCGGTGTACTGCAGATGGCTCGGGTAAGCGAGTGTAAAAGAAAATGGGGGTTGTGTAGGAGGGAAAAAATAGAGGAATTGGTGATTAATGTAGTCCTTGACATGCTACGTAGAGTCATATCTGTTGAAAGAGAACCAGAGAGAGAATATAGGAGTTAGAAGACATAGTAGAAATCCCCTCTGAATTTTTTTTCAAATTCCAAATATTGAGTTCAGAGTCATCCAATAGAAATGTCATGCAAACCATAGGCTTAATTTTCAAATTTGCATGTAGACACATTAAAATAATAAATAATAAAATTAACTTTGATAATATATTTTGTTTACCCCGATACTCAATATATTATCATTTCATCAAGTAATTGGTATTATCAGTTGAGATAATTTATATTACAGTATTATTATTAAGAGACTTCACTGTCTTTTCCCCACAGCTTTTTCAACTGGGTGTATATTTTACATTTTCAGCATATCCCAGTTTGGACATTTCAAGTGCTTCATAGTCACATGTGGCATGACTCCTAATTTACTGCCTTTCTTTATGTCTATACCCCTGGCAACATTCTCTTCCAAAAGTCAGTAGCAAACTATAGCTACTCAGCGAAACAAGATGTACTTTCTCACTCCTTAGGGAAACTTGAAAACCATTTTTCACCTGCCAGCACTTAAGAAATTGAGTCAGCTGTAACTCCTAAACCAGAATCTCTCAAACAGGGTTCCAATCCCAAAAGGAATGTCACCCCCCACCTTGGGTGGTGCAGTGCCCCCAGAGTTTGCACTTCACTGCCCCCAGGTGTTGATCTGATCTCCAGGATGCAAGTCTAGGCCAGGCCTGGCTCAGTGGCTAGCCCTCAAAGGCCTTTGTCAGCCTTTGGACCAACTCCAGTAAACTCAGCTTTCCAGGAGAAACTGTACAATCCTCACAACCGAACTTTGGGGTGTCTGTGACACTGCCCACTGGCCATGCATAGAACTGGTGCACACGGGGGCACAGACAGAGGGGAGCAGTTCCTGGGCTGGAGAACTCGATGGAGCTTGGCTGGCCTAGGAAGGATGTCAGACACTAAGAAAATCCCAACAGTTCTTCTGATTTTACAAAGAATTGCATAGCCTGTTTTTGCCTGTAGGAAGCTTCTGTCCAAATTCAGTGCTCAAGTGTATCTCGGATTCCTGCTATAATGCTTCCTCACTCCTTAATGACTTTGTGTTCACTCACCTGATTTATGTAGTAATCTTGATAAGCAACCGTGCATATTTCTATCAAAAAGAAAACGATGAATTATATATTTTTTTAAAATGAGGGTTGGAAAAGGATTATAAAAGTAGCTAAGAGAAAAGTGAGTAAAAAGGAAAAAGAGGAGTGAACAGTGATTGAATAAAAAAACGAGCACGCACATTCTTTTGAAGACTAGCCTTCTCCTCCCTGCCACAAAAATGTATTCTGGGAACTCACTATCGCTAGCATCTTTTACTCCAGTAGCAAAATCAATCACAGTTACAAAGCTGCTTAATTAAAAGTGGTTTTTTCAACCCTATCTGCTGGCATTTATGCCATTTTTAGAAGTTACAAAGAGTTACAAAGAGATTCAGGAAGAGTATCTTCAGCGGTTAGCCTTTCTGGTGAGATTTTTGTGTTTTCTATTAGGACTAAAAATGCCTTCTGAATGCCCCCACTGACACCCCACTTCCACTTCTCTCACAAGGTCATTTTCTCTAGCACCCTTAGGATTGCCCAGGGTGGATGAGATGGGCTTCTTTGGTGCCTCGAGGCAGGGAGGGCCTGAGCACATACCTTAAATTGTAGGATTATGGCTTAACATGATGAGTGCAGTCAACCTATGTTGACAGACCCGCGCATTAGACACACAAACTCAACGGGGCAGCCTGGTAGCTCCAGCAGACCATGAAGTGACACGATTTCCACAAGAAAGGCTCTCATTCAAATACCCCTCTCCCCACCTCATGCAAGATTCAGCACGTTTTGGCTAACAGTTTAGGAGGCCAAAAGGAGGCCCAGCCTGCTCAGTCTAGTCACTAAGGAGGGTGAGAGCAGAAAACTGGGATGTGACAGTTGCAGGAAGGAAAATCTTAGCAGCTCAGTGGTAAAAGCTCCCTTATAAGGAAAAGGTTGTTCTTCACCCCAGGTTAAAGATCTTTATGTCAAAGCATTCTTTCCAGCAGGCTCAAGAAAAATAGATTCAATTAGGATATTCCTATCCATCCCCCAGCCATCTGACTGTTCATCTCCTCAGATAAATTTGAGAGAGAAATGAACAGAAGCTATAAAGGAAAATGGGTTATTCCCCAAGAAGCCATTCTGTTTTGACCACGTAGCCTGGCCACCCAGAGAGGTTGGGGCATCCTGATAACACTGAAAGTCCACTTCTGTTAATCCCCATGGGTGACCAGAGTTCCACTCAGTCACCTGAAATAAGGGGACTCGCCCAAGTGATCCCTTGTGGCCGTCTCTGGGTCTCTGCCAGACTGGAGGGGGTAATTCACAGTGGCAATGTGTGACAGATACAGAAGGAAATGAAATCCCCTTTTCTTTAGAAGGGTGGGGAAAGCCAAAGAAAGAAGCTAATTCTATAAAGGTTTTGTGAGAAGTATTTACAGACCTTCCCCTCTTTGGCTTTTGCAATTGCTTGCAGTGGATTTACCCTTAATCCAAACCATACATAGTTTTATCTTTTCTTCTGACTTTCTACAATCCAATCCCCACATTATAAGAATTACCACTTGTACTTGATGAACCGCTACTGAATAGAAGTGGATTTATCTCACGGCAGCCTTGGTACAATCTGCTGTGGTGGAACAAATTTAGTTGCTCTGAACTTATCACTAAGAAACATGAAGTTGAATAGAATTGAAGTAGAGCAACCAACTGCACTGTAGACAAAATAAGGAGTTTCCTTCAGACCCTTCATGAGTCTTCCCTTGGAATTCACAACACTAGTTTCAAAGTCTGATGAGCAGTAGAGGCCAACCGCAATTATTTCTACCCTTTCTCCCTCACATCCTGTTTGCTCTTCTTTTTGGTTAAACCACAAACCACAAACACCGTATTTGTGATGGCCTGGTTTTTGTCAGGCATTTTTCTATGACTTTGGCTTTTCTTTCACGTTATCTCATTCAATTCCCAGAAGAAATCTACAATAAAGGTATCATGATCTTATATGTCCCAGGAGTTTCCTCAGCAGTGGCCAGGCACCTTGTCTGCAGAGACAAGGCTGGCTTCGACTTCAACTGCAAGAGAGCACAGGAGCGGGCATGGGGTATAGCTGACATCTATTAAACCAAATATATAAAGAAAAATTGCAAAAATGTAAAAGCCATGCCATTCTGCTAAGTGTTTTGTCTTGAAAAATCATTATTTTCCATTAAAAATGGTATTTGTACTAGCAGTAGTAATGTCACATTTTTGTTTCAATTTCTAATATACTATATATTGATAGATATGAACCATATATATATAAAATCTAATGTCATCAAGACTGTTTAAGACTATAAAAGAGCCTAAGGCCAGGAACTTTCAAAACCATTGCACAACAGCAGATCTTAGCCCGGGCTAAGATCACAACTGTGATCTCAAGGGCTCATTTGCCCTTCGAGGCTGCAGAAAACAGCAGGCGAATAAATGGTGAGGACAACATGGGTGAATACCGAATCCCTACTCTGTGCCAGGCACTGATCTAAACCCTCTGTTCCTGTTTAATCCTCATAGTCAGCCTGTAAGAAGGTACTGTCATGGGCCACATTTTACAGAGGAAACTGGGTGGAGATGAGGTGATTTACCCCAGGACACAGCTAAGCTGGGCACAATGCTAGGTGCTCCGTCTCCAGATGCCAAGCCTACAATCACCCAGCTACCCTGCCTATAAGAGAGTGTACCCCCAAGGCCCCACACTTTCCTATGACTCAGTCAGTTCACCGCTAGGATTTGCAAACAGCAGGCTGAAGGCTCACTGACTTAGATGTAGGCCACAGGTGTGACTTAGGATCCCACACAACCTGCTATAAATGAGGCTTCCTGGCTTCACTCTGTCAGAGGACTAAGTCAGGTGCACCTCCATGTGTGGAATGTACCCATTTCTACTGTAAGTGGAAGTCAACATGGCAGCTCCTGTGATATTTATTTGTGATGGGATGTCAACGCCAAGGGAAAATCCAGGCAAACCCCAACAGTGGAGCAGCACAGGTCAGACCCAGGTATTCAGGGCATGGAAAACAGCAACAAGATGAGAGTGGGTCAGAAAAGCAAAGAGAGCATATATAAGTGAGTGCGTCAGCTTCAGTCAGACGTAAGGATACATCCAGGACCAAACAGGAGAGGCCTTGATCTTCTAGTAGTCAGACATTTCGAGAGAAAACTCCATTTTGCATGGGGTGAAGTAAGCAGTGAAGGGCTCAGTTCCCAGTTCAAAAAGAGCCAGTGGTCCAAGTGGACTGAGAGTTTAGGACTGCAGCTAGAGTGGTATCTGTAAGGGAGTGGCCAGGGCATTCAGAATTGGAGAATTGGAGGTCAGAATACACTTGGCTTCCCATCTTTAGGGGTATCTTTGGGTGTTCCTTACTGTGACGGAGCATCTTGGAGGACAAAGACACATGAGTCTAGCAAATGTCCTGGCGACCCTGAGAGCCGCAGACACCCAGGAGTGTTGGGGGGTCGGGCCACTGTGGGAGAGGCCACTGTGGGAGAGGCCAAGGCTGTTGTGTGTTGGCTTCCGTGCCATTTAAAATGGTAAAGTTACTGTTTTTGCTAACAATTACCAAGTGTATTCCCAGTAAAGGACCCAAATATTCCCAAATGTATTCCCAGTTAAGGACCCCGCATAGTGAAGCCTGAAGATAGGGCCATCCTTCAGTGACAGTCTCATGCTAAGGGACTGTCACACGAATCAGAGACGTGGGCCAGAAGGGACACCGAGCTCTCCCCGTGACTTTTGCAGTGACTTTCACGGCTGTGATGGCAGGGGCACTTTCAGGGTTATTTCCTTCATGCCTTAAAACATAGGATCACAGTGTAAAAATACACAACTGCCTCTTCAAATGTATTCTAAGCATCCTTCAGCTACCAATTATTTTATCCAAAATGTATCATATGTAATAGAATTTCCAGACTTGTAAGCAAAAGTAGCTTCTACAAATGCCAGCATTTTCCTCTCTATCAACAAAGTGATTGGCATCCTTGGGTCTTTAGTTCATTTTATAAGATTTCCAGTTTGATTCTTGCTTCCCCTGAGCATCCGAAGCACTGCCATGAATATATTCTGGGGGTCCTGGCTGGCCAGCAGGAGCGATATTCCTACTTCTGCAGTGTAGCCCCACGCTGGCTCGGTGCCAGGGCCAATGCTGCGCCCACGCTCACCGTGTTAATAGCCTCAGGCTGAAGTGGAAGGAGCTGGACTCATTAGGGAAACACTGTTTTTCAGCTCTAAGAAGGCAACATGACTGGAAGTCAGGCTGTGGGTCTGCAGTGTTCTGGCAGAAAGGAGGTTGAAGGCTTTAGTCAGGGCACGTGGAGGAGGTGAAGCCGAGCCTGAGCCCCAGAGACGCTGCGCTCACTGGAGCCAGGGTACCTCGCTCCCCTCGCAGACCATGACTGTCTCCTTAAGTTATGTTTGGGTTTTTCATTTATGGTTTCTTTTAGTCTTATTTGTGGATTTTCCCGCTGTTCCCCTCAGCAGTACACTTCATCGATCTGCCGGTTCTGCTCCCCACTCTGTCTCTGGTGAAGTCTCTCACCGTCCCTGCACCTCTGTCCTGTACCCCAGTTCTGTATGCATAAATAAATAAACTTTAAAAAAATTCACAATTAAATTTTCTACACAAGAAAATTAAATAAGCTTGGAATCTGACAATTTTGTTCATTTAATATTACCCCATTTACTATTCAAATTTGAGACGTAATGTTGGAAACATAAGGAAAACCAAAGACCATTGTGTTCAAAGTGATTCAGAACTAGCAGAGGGTTCAGCAGTGCCCCACTGGCGCCATCTGCTGGCACATCCAAACAAGTCCCACCGCCTTGGAAAAGCACTACCAGACCAGGAAGGCTCTTAGAAACTGAGAGCTGGACAAGTGCTTATACAGATGTCTGCATTAAATGTGGGACTTCAAACAGGCACCCAATACTGCATGGGAGGCCCATGTCACAGCTTCTTTCTTCCCCAGAAGGCAGCTCTGCCTTGTGCCCCCATCCTGAGATGACAGTCTGCCTTCTCTCTGGCAGAAAATAAGTTCTAAGATGAGCCAGTTTCACCTCCTGCACATGCCGGCCGGCATCTGTACTTGCTGGTCTGCCTTCCTCTCACCTGGCGGCAGGGCTGCCTGTTTATGCCCTGGAAGACAGCCCCTCTCACACCACCAATGGTGTCTATGTGCAACTGTTCCCTCTCCTGTATCACCACCTCCCCGCTCACCTGGGTCATTACCATCAGCATACAAACAGGTCATTGGGTTCCAGTCTTAGAAAAGGAATGGCTACCTCTCTTGCCAAGGAATGGCCATACCCTCTGTCTGTACCCTCCACTGGTTGGCCAAGCACAACAGCTGCTGCCTCTCCTTTCCCACCTGACCTTTTCCAGCCCCTGTTTGCGTGCTCACGCTCACTGAAGCTGCTCGAGTTTGTCACCAGCGACTCTTTGCCACCGTCCAGTCTCTCACCACCTTGCCTGGACTCTGAGCAGCCTTTGACACAGCTGCCCAGGTCCTTCTAGGAGCTGGGTGTCCTCTGCCCCCCTAAACCTCACATTCTCCTTCTCAGACCTGTGTGTAGTGCCACCTCCTTTATCCTGTTTTCCATTTCCAGCCCCAGGGCCTGGTGGAACGCTTCCCCTCTCTGCTCAGCTCACCCTCCTTTCTAGGTTACCTCCCCAAACAGGGTCGTAAACACAGTCTACGGAACATAACCCTCTAAGAGCTCCACCCTGGCCTTCTCCTGCACTACAGACTCATCATTGCCTACTCAGCACTCCCACTTGGATGGTGAGATAGGGCAGAAGGCCAGAAGGCTGACACATCCTACCATCAGTGATGAAAACCACTCCTCCCATCATGAAACCTGCTCGTGACCAGTTTTCCAGCTATTGTTAAAAGGTAGCTGGTGGCCAGGACCCAAACCCAGAGCTGCCTTTGATCACCCTGCAGGCTCAGGCTGAGTCTGACCACATGTTCCTGTCTCAGTTCAGTGCTACTCCCCAACCCCCCAAGAACAAACCTTAGGGACACTTCCTACTCTCTCCTCACTGTCTTTTCTCCAGAGCCCAGCCCAGGGTGGCTTTTTCAATACCACCTAGATCCCATCACTCCTGTGCCCAAAGCCCTACCCCCAGATCCCCACCCCACCCCACCCTGAGGCCTCATACACATAGGTCACACTTTCGCTGCTCACCTCAGGTTCAAAGGCCTCACAGATCTGGTCCCTGCCTACTTCCCCAAGGACCCTCATAAAAATAATCTTCCCATTGTTTTTCTTCCAGCTCTCAGCTGTCCCGTGGTTCCCAAATATGCCACAGTCATTCCCACCTCCCAAGAGTATCTGAGCCATTCTGCAGCAGGACACTGATGCCAGCATGCTTCACCACTCTGCTCTCCGCTTAGATGTTGCCCTCTTGTAAATAAGTGTCGCCTATCTCTAGATCACTGGCCTCATTTTACTTTCTTCAGGATACACACCACTGTTTGAAGAGACTGTGTTTATTTTCTGTCTCCCCCCAACAAACATCACTGCACAGAGCAGAGCCTCCTTCGTCTCGTTCTCTGTCAAACCAAGGCCAGGTTAGTGATTTAGCCAGGAGAGCCGCTTCACCTCTTCCTAGCTTCCTTTCTGCTTGCTAAGCTTGAAAGGTAGGTAAGATAGCTAGAATTATAAGTCATTTTGGCAAAACTCTTAAGATGACTTGAGGAAGGCTGATAGTTGCTGAGGACAATGACAGGGTATAAACTGGAGGGGCGGGTTTCCATTGTCATGTAGAGTTCCTTTACCTGCCATTCACAGACACTCTCGAACTTCCTTTATGTGCAGAGAAATGAGTGTCCATTCTGTTTAAGTCACAGTTACTATAGGATAATAGTTCTCAAACCTTAGTGACTAACAAAATCACCCAGAGAACTTACAAGAATCCACAGAACTTTCTATCCTAAGCTGTCCAACCTGGTCTTAAGATTCCCTTTTGTGTCAACCCAACAGGTTAACACGCACACAAAAGCAGCTGTATGGTATTCTATTGTATTTCTGATTGAAAGCAGAGACTGGATCTGGATGAGGGTCCTAATGCCAAGATCAGGTCCCACCTACCTTTCTAGGATGTGGCAGAAGGTGGTAAAATAGTTGCCCACTCCTACCTCAACCTTCCCTGAGGCCAGCAGTAATCTGGCCAGCCCTGCCCCACCCCTCAGCATTCTGCCTGGTGCTACAGAGGTAGAAGCCGTCTGGGTACAGCCCCTAGGTTTCCTCCTTGGAAGTTTCAGGTTGAGCATGAACAGTGCGGACCTTCCCTGAATGGGGTCTCCAGCCCATCACCTTGATTATCTGGATGCCAAAAGAATTCAGTGAGGGACCACTTGCCCTTGACTGCTACACCTTACCCATCTCACAAGCTGCTTCCTTAGTGAGGGTTGAGAGTCCGAGGACAACACAACACTGAGAGCCACCTCTCTCCGTCCACAGGTCACTGGTGCAAAGTTAGAGATTTTCTGACCAGACCCAGTTGTCTGTCTGCCCTGCCCAGCCAGTAACTCCTGTTGTCCTCTCAGAGGGATGAGCTTGGCACTTTCTCCTCCTCTCTTCCACAACACATTGCTATTCTTTCTCTTGCTGGTAGAGCAACACTGGACATATGGGCTATGGAAAGAGTTTACAGACCACTATCTCCAAGAAAAAAGTGGCTTGGACCTGCCTACACATAAATGAGCACATTCTTCAAAACCCCATTTGTTGAAAATCAGAGAGTAAAATTATAAAAAGATGACTTTCGATCATCTGGCTGGGCGGGCTCTCTCTTTACATTCAGTTCCTGAGACGTAACGTAACCACCCACGTCTGTCTGCTCTGGATACAAGCAGTTGACAAACAGGTAGTGCCCTTTTGGATGTCAGCTACAGAAGGGAGTCCCCCAAACAAAAGCAAGCTCAGGCGAATCATTCACCACACCCTCACCTAATCCTGAAGGGTCCCCTGAGCCTGGTGGCCTCGGCTAGAAGGCTCAGCCTCTAAACTGAGTCAAGAAAAGGCTCAGGTCCCCCATAACCTAGACTCCCAGGACATGTTGTGGAGTAGAGCTGAGTTGCTCTCCTCTGACTGCAGGGCCACACTGGTGTAGCTGAGATAGGAACCTGCCCCAGAAACACCACCCCACACCAGGGACTCACTTTGTATTTATTTCTGGTAGTGAGTGGAGTTTGAAGAGCTGCCTCCTCCCCCTCGGATGGCGTGGACGGCTGTTGGCGATGATGCCGGATAGTGTCCAGGGCGGATAGGCTTGGCTGTATCCAACCAAAGGAAAGGAGAGAGCAGACATTCAGAAATGGTTCACAGCCTCTCCCATAAGCCCACATGTCACATGTCACCAGAGCAACAATTCTTATCACTATGACAAGTCTTATCACCACCAGCACTCTCTGAAAATGCAAGTTTTGCCTACATAATAATTAGCACAGTCCGCAAATGCAAGGCACCCAATGTTAGAGGACAGAGAGGACTTATATATCAACAACTTCAATTCAGAATGAGGAAAATTAGAAACAAAGGACTTTCGATTTTATCTGAGGGAGATCCACGGGCGCCCTTAGGTTTCAAAGCTATCTGTGCAGCCTCTGATATTGGATGCTGAATTCTGCCTGGATGCACTTTTCTGAGGACAGTGTCCACTGTTTTTAGTACTTTCAAGTGGCATACAACCCAATTAATGCAAGGAAACACCAATCTAAGGCGTGATCTTAAAACAAGAATCATGAAGTTGCTGGCTACAAACATTTGCACAGCAGTATCTGATGGAAAATTTATTACATAATATTGGACATGTTTCAATTTTTTTTTTTAAACAAGAGAGAGAACATTCCTAAATCCCCTTTATTCCTATGACTATTTTGGAATCTCTGACTCAGCAGCCATATTCTCATTTCTGAGCCCAAACCCAGGTCTTCAGGAGCTGGATGCCCAAGTCCCCTCCCCAGCTCGGAGCCAAACCCGATCCCTGATGCCAGGCCTGGCTCCTTCCAAGGTATTGCAAAACCTGCACTTGAGGTTTCTAATTACGTTCAGTTTTTTCCAAGTTCTTCCTGGTATAGCACAAAAGGGGCTCTCAAGCCTTCTGAGAAACACATGCATGTTCTGGTCTGGTGTTTCTGCGTGTACCTCTGTTGATAGTCAAACACCTTCCTAGAGCATAGACTGGCTTCTCTGCTCTGCCCAGCAGCTTTGAAACCATAACAGATGCTGGAATGGCTCAGAGGAAGGAAGTGGGTGCCTGACACGCCCAACCTCCCAGTATGGGTGCAGGGTGCTGGAATGGCCCTGGCCAGCCTTCCCAATGTCCCAGAGTGTGTGTTGGGGCACCAGTGCTTCTGACCACTGGAGTCCTTGCCTTCCAGCAAGGGCCTGGGTGAGAGGCACACGTACCGATCTGGGCAGAATGAGCCCTCCTGGCCATGTTCTTGGCTCTCACAGCCTCCTTGATGCGATCCACCTCCTGCTGGTAGCGTTTGCGGTCCCGCATGGCATTTTCCTTGGCCTCCTTCAGCGCACTCTCCAGGGCCTTGACCCTCTCCGCTGTGGCACGCAGCCGCTTCTCAAGCTTGGGCAGCTCACAGCGCAGGTCTGCATTGTCCCGGACCAGCTGCAGTGAGAGGGCAAGTGTGGTGAATTACCAGAGAGCCCATGGGCAAGCAGCAGAAACAGACCCACTGCAGGAGATGATGAAAGTGACAGGAGAGCAGTAGGCAGCCACTGCCTCGTAGGCGGGCTTGGAAAGTCCCTGATACCAGAAACTTTGGAATCAGCAAAGGAAAATAAAAACCCGACACTAAGTCCAATTCCATACCCTATAAGATTTGACGTAAGGGCTGCAAAGGAGAAGGGACACAGAATAAACATGAAGCTCTTCACAGCCATAGGGAATGTTTAGGGTAGAATTTACTGCCTTTTGGAGTGATAGAAATACCATGAAAAACATGATACATGACATGAGCATGTGAATGCTAAGAAACTAAGAAACTGAAGGCTAGTTCAAAGCATTCAGTGAAAGGCAGGCATGTCCCAGAGCTCGCCAATGGGACATATGTCCACACCAGCTCGTGCCTAGGTCAGCGCTGTGTAGCTAGCTTATCCAGGGGCAAATGTACTGCTTATTTTTTCATGACCTAAGACGCTCAACTAAGAAGAAACCAGCTATGCTAGGCAAAATAAGTCAAAGACAAAAACTGCATTATGACCTCACATATATGTGGAATCTACAAAGCAAACATAACCAAACATATATACAGAGAACAGCTGGGTGGTTGCCAGAGGCAGGGGGTTAGGGTTTGGGTGAAATGGAGAGAAGGATCAAATGGTACAAACTTCCAGATATAAAATGAAAAGTTCCTGGTGTGTAATTTACAGAAGGTGATTATAGCCATCGATATTTTGCTGTGTATTTGAAAGTTGCTAAGAAAAAAATCTTAAAAGTTCTTATCATAAGAAAAAAGTTTGTGACTATGTGTGGTGATGGATATTAACTACACTCGCTAGGAGAATCATTTTGCAATATAGACAAATGTTGAAGTATTGTGTTGTACACCTGAAACAAAAACTGTGTTGTATGTCAACTCCATCTCAAAACAAAAACTACCAAACTACTCTAGGTGATGATGGAGACAAGTGTTAGCTCTGGTCAGCTAACTTGGTGTGAGTCACAACAACTATCATATTTCTCAAAATAATATAAAAGTAATAGTGCAAAAAAAAAAAAAATAGGACCATGGTGGGGATCTAAAAGGCTATAAAAAAAGTTTTGAGAACCAGGAGGTACTACACAAAATTGAACCATCCCTAGGACTGCATTCTTTACCTCTGTGTCCCCAACACCACCTTGACAGAGTAGACTTCTAATGAATATTCATAGAATTCATGAATAATTCATTATCCCCACTGCACTATTTCAAGTTCCTTGTCAGCTGTTGCTTTAATGTGTCTCATTGGCTTTTGCTTGGATGACTTCAACCGCGGTGAATCTGCCATCCTCTCTGTGGTGATACTGAAGAGAACTTAACAAGTCACAGGAAGTGAATGAACCCTAGGTCCCCCCAACACAAAGCTAAGTTCATTCTTCCACTTTATGGTGAGGAAACTCTGAGCTATCAGGGTTAAATGACTTGAGAGAGAGAACTAGAGAGAGAGTTGGGTCATTTCTCTCAAATCCTAAAAAGTCTTTAGGATTTAAGGAAAAGTCACGACCAGTCCAGCACTTAATCAGAAATGAGAGATAGGTAGATGACATGGCTAAATCACCAGTAGGTTTGGACATAGCTATCAGTTTCTCCAGGCAAACTCCAGAGTGTAGGACCTGTGGGGATGTCAGAAACAGGGTGACAGAACAGAAAGGGGACCAGTTCGAGCTCTCGTTCTCCCAAGTAGGGGATGAAGCACATTGCTTCTTCTCCCAGTCTTTTCCCAGTCTATTAAAATACGGGGCCTGAGCCAGTTCAGTGGTGTCCACTTTGCATTCTGTGCAGTTCTGGGTCCATCCAGGGTCCTCAGAGGTGTCCTGGGAGGCCCCGAGGCCCATGTATGGAAACAGCAGGATTGGAGACAGAGTGAAAAGGTGGGACTCTGAACACTCCACTCTCCTAGTCGCAGAGAGCTCAAACTCAAGTCCTTGTGTAGCTTCAACAACAGAAAGCACAGAAATGCTCAAATATGATAATTTTATTCAACATCATTTCATGATGACATTAATAAGGGAAAAAACTGATTCGCAGCTATGATTCCCGTCTCTGTGGAGTGTGGACATTCTCCTCATGTCTATATGAGTTTCTCTGGGTACTAGGGCCTCTTCCCACATCCTAGAAGTGTGCATATCAAGTTGACTGTCATGTCTCAGTTGTCTTAGTCTGAGTCAGTGAGTGGTGAGGTGTCTGTGTGGGGGTGTGTGCACTCGCACACATAAGCATGACTGCACTGTGCGATAAAAGCCGCCTGCCCATGGTCATTTCCTGTTTTGCACCCTCAGTTATCAGGACAGGCTCCATCACCTGCAACTCTAAACTGGAATAAGCAAAATGAACGAATGAATTAATACAAATGCTAGCTTAACAATACTTGCTTAGTGTGTGAGGTCTTTATTTAGAAGATTGGTGATATTTTGGGGAAACAGAAAATATGCCATGGAATTTAACTCCTGTCATCAGTTAGTCTATGGCAAAACATGTTTTATTATACATCCTTTTGCTTAGAGTTGCAATTTCCAAGATTCAACTAAGGACATGCTGTGTCTTATAGATGAGGAAAGTCACTGTATGCTAAAGGATCTCCAGGACCCTCCAGCACTGATGTGTTGTCCATTAACCTTCACACCTTTTACCCCGCATTGTGACTAAAGCTGGTGGGACTTCTTTCAGGAGAGAAAGAAAAGCAGGAGGAAACTGGCAAGACTTTCCTACCTGTTTGTGAACTTTAGTGAGCTGCTCCAGATTATTCTCCAGGAAAGAAATTTTCTGCTTCTGGGCAGCACTGCCTCCTCCATCATCACTGTCCAGCTCCACGCTCTGTGTCAAAACCAAGAGGTCAGAGGCCAGGCAGTCACACTGCCCACCCTCAGCCCAACACAGTAAGTGGTACATGCTCTAAGTAGCATTTTTTAAAAATCCTTAGTCCTACTGTTATCATGCAAACAAGAATGAGCAGAGCATCCAAAACTGTAGAATGCCCTTCCCAATTACTTCTATTTGGTGCCTAGAAGTGTAACTTTTTAGAGTGCTAGAAAAAAAACAGATCTTTTTTGAAATGATAGATGATTTCTCTTTATGATCAAAACCTCACTTGTAGGTAGGTAAACAGACTTTTCCAAAGGAAGGGTTCCAAAACTCACTAAGAAGTCTGGTGTGAAAACCCAACCCTAAAATAACCTCAACATTCGCCTGAGATGTAAGTCACACAATCATCTATGGACACAGGGGAAAGAGTTGGTGACCTCTGCTTGTCCCTTTAGCTTCTAATTCTCTGAATCCCCTAGAGACTCCATCTGAAACTGGTTACAGCATCCGGGTGCTATGTTAAATCAACTTTTGAAAGTTATCAGATCCTGAAACTGGCACAATACCGCCAAACTGAGAAGTACAGATAAGATGAGGAATGCTTGTGCAAACACAGCCTAAAGTCCAAAAGTGGCAATGCCCGCTTGCATCATCTGACTGTAGTGGTGATTGTCTTATTTTTCTGAGAGGGAGCAGAAGCTACGGGCACAACCTATAAGAGACATAAGCAATGTCTCTAAGCCAGGCGTGCTCAACCTTCACCCAGAGGTAGCACTCAGATTGCTGGACCCTACCCCACTCCTGAATTCAGTGGATCTGGTGTGAGTCTGAGCATCTGTATATCTAGCGAATTCCCAGCTGAGCCTAATGCTGCTGGCCAGGTGAGCAAACCTGGAGCACCCCTGATTTAAAAGTAGCTCCTAGCAAAGAAGATACAATGGAACAAAGAAAATTTGTTCAGCAAGTGGTGCTGGGAACACTGGGAAGCTACATGCAAAAAAATGAAACTAGACCACTACCTCTCACCATACACAAAAATCAACTCGAAGTGGATTAAAGACTTAGACAAAAAAACGGAAACCATAAAATACCTGAAAGCAAAAATGGGCCAAACACTACACGACATAAACTTCAGCGACATCTTTAAAGACAGAGCACCCAATGCAACGATAGTGAAGGCAAGGATAAATAGATGGGACTACATCAAGTTAAAGAGCTTTTGTACAAAAAAAGAGACATTACAAAAAACAGACAGGACACTGATTGGGAAAAAGTTTTCTCACACAAAACTAGCAATAAAGGATTGATCACAAAAATATACGGAGAATTGATGAAACTCAACAAAAATAAACAACCCCATCAAAAAATGGGCAGAAGAGCTACAAAGACACTTCTCCAAAGAGGAAATGCAGATGGTCATCAAGCATATGAAAAAATGTTCAACATCACTTGTTGTAAGTGAGATGCAAATTAAAACCACAATGAGAAACCACCTCACCCCAGTGAGAATGGCACATCTTAAAACAAATAGTAACAACAAATGTTGGCGAGGATGTGGAGAAAAAGGAACTCTCCTGCACTGCTGGTGGGAATGCAAACTAGTACAACCACTATGGAAAACTGTTTGGAAGTTCCTCAAACTGCTAAACATGGAGCTTCCCTGCGACCCAGCAATCCCACTCTTAGGTATCTACCCAAAAGAAACAAAAACACTGATTCAAAAAGATACCTGCACCCCCATGTTTATTGCTGCTTTATTCACAATTGGAAAAATATGGAAACAGCCCAAATGCCCAAAAATGGATGACTGGATTAAAGAGATGTGGTACATATACACAGTGGAATATTACTCGGCCACCAAGAAAAAGAAACACATGTCTTTTGCAGCAACTTGGATGGAGCTGGAAAAGATCATGCTAGTGAAATAAGCCAGAAAGAAAAGGAAAAATACTGGATGGTTTCTCTTATAGCAGGAATATAACAGAACAGGTGAGAAAATAATAATGATAATGATGAACAGCTATATACCAGAGACATTTTGTGGGGCCGGAGTGGGGAATGGGATCAAAAACAGTGGGGGGAAGGAAATGCACTGCACTGTGGTGATGGCACATGGATGATTTGGTGATGGGAAACCCAAGAGGATTACAACTGAGATGGAAAAATGCACAAAATGATGCAAAAATAAACTACTATAAAAGTTAAAAAAAAAAAAAAAAGTAGCTCCTTCTAAGACCTACATCAAGAAATCAGGGAAATCTGGTTTCAAATTCTTCATCCTCCTGGGGCTACCTCCTCCTGAGCCTTTTCATTCGTTGTCATGACCTACCTAGTCTCCTCTCCATCACCTACTTCGGCCAGGTCCTATCCTCATTTCTACATTAACAACTGTGGTCACTATCTATCTTTTTGACTGACACTATGCAGGTTTGAAATCTCTCATCATTCTTCACCTTCTTCTTTATTTTCATTTCCAGGCCCTCCATGCTCACGAGAACCATGCTGTCAGAAGCTACAGCAAAGCCACATGCCACTACTGCCACAGCTCAGGAGTCTTTCATTCATCCCTAGCAGACACCCCCACAGCTGCCTCCTGTATGCAGGCTCCCCAGTATCTCCCCTCCTTTTTCAATAAGGACCCATGTCTCCATATTAACTAAGAAGCTCAAAGTGATTGGATGCTTCTTCTACCCACCATTACTTATTTCCCTGCAAATGACTCCATCTTGACTTCATCCCTCCTCGCTGCAGAACAGTGACCCACCCCATGACCAAGTCTAATACATTGATATAAGCTATTAGTTCAGTTCCTCTCAGATCTGAATCAATCCAACCTGTCCTGTTTAAATTGTTCACCTTTTGTCCCTTGCAACTTCACATACACACTGGTATGCCCACTCACACACAGTACTCTCCGATATACCTTCCCTCCATCCCTTTAGACCTCCGCATGTGGGCTTTGCTCCTTGCCCATTACTTCTAAGCATTTATAAAAAGTAACAGTATTGTTTCCTCTACCTCTCACCTTTTCTTAAACCCTAGCAGAATACTCTGTAATGTCACCTTAAAGTGACAACCCAAGATCACTATGTTTGGCAAGAGGACCAAAGCAGCTCAGACTAAAAAGTCACACAGAGCTGATTCTGATCCTATCTTAGGTTTTCCCCAACTGTGCAATCTTGGGCAAGTTATTTAATCACAGGGTCTATTTCCACATATGCAAAGGCACTAAGAAACCCTCTTAAGTGGCTGCTGAGAAGAACATATAAGATGTGGGAGGTTGATGTGCTTCATAAGCTCTGACCAATCACCTCCTAACAGGCAAAGAGAAGGTTGCTGCCTCTCACTTCTCTCAGTGTCTGGAACTGCTCACCAAGCTTTGGGGCTCTCTGATGAGACCTCTCTGGATTTCCCCTGCATTTCACGCTGCCAGATAAGTATGTGTTTGTTTGAAATGAAGGAGAAGGATTATAACTTCCTTTTACAAAAGGAAGAAAATCAGATGGAGATACACTCCCAAGTTTTTTTTTTGTTTTGCCTCCAGCCCATTCTTTTAGTAACATTCTCTGGCAAAAAAGTGTTTAACTTTTAAGCATAACCAGTTCCAACTTAAATAAGTGATGTTTCTAAGAAAAATGATTCTTCCTGACCATCTTTCTTTTCTTCTCAGTCCCATTCACATAAGATAGAACTCACCTTTTTGACCCGGGCAGTCAGATCCTGAACGAAGAGTTTACGGAGGTTGTGCAGAGTCTGCAGTTCTCGAGACTGGAAGAGAAGATTTTTAAAATGCCATGTTAAGTGCAAGGACAAGTTGAATCGATAACACATCAGCTTGAGAGGCCTCCACTGCCACAGCAACGGTGTCCCCTGCTTCCTCTGACTTGCCCAGTGCTCACATCCATCTTTCAACCTGATGTCTCATCAAGAGCACACATAGGTGCAGACTGGGACCCCAACAACAATAAGCTACAACAAAGACTGCTCATTTCTGTATTCTAAATGCATTCTTTTTTATTTTTCTTTAACCACAAAAATTCAGGTTTTCTCCAAAATTTCTAATGTTGTACCAAAAAGTTTTTCTCTCTAATTGTCACATATACATCATCTATACTGCTAACAAGCTTAAATAAAAACTAGCCACAATTTCCCCCACCCTCACTGACTGACTTTTCTCATGTTGCTACACTCTCTTCTGATCAGTCCACAGGCTCATTTGCTTTCCATCACTGACTGTAAGGATGAAACGGCTCGTCAACGTTTTCTCTGGGTGACTCTGGGCAATTAATCTAATTTTCTGTGCCTCAGATTTCTTATTTGTGACAGGATAAAAATAGTCACTACCTCATAGTTTTGGTTCTCAAGATTGAGCTAATGCTTATAATATGCTTACAAAAGCTTTTGGCATAAAGTAAGTGCTCAGGAAACACAAACTCATCTAAGTTTTACTATTTAAGCATCATATTTGACAGTTATTTCTCATTAGACTTTTATTGATTCCTTCTATTGTTATACATTACAGTGCAAATAACTTCTCGGGAGCATTTTTTTTCCCTCCATTTGGGATTATTTTCTATAAAAGGACCTTAAGGAATTGGTGTTATGTTTTGACAAGAGTCATAACACAACCCAGTGACCTCTGTTAATAACATCAGAATATCTGAGCAGTCCTTTCCATTCAAATCACCATGTATTTACAACAGGAGATGTGATTAGTTCTGTGTAGAATTTCTTTTCCATAAGGGAGGAGGAGAGAAATTAATTCACATTCATACTTTTCAATTTGTCTACGTTTGACTTACTCTAATACAGAATGTGAAGGAATACACTCACAGAAAAAAAGAAATTAGACCAAAAAACTCTGGAAACACCAAGTTTCTCAGGATAAAGGTCTTATGTTAAAGTCTTATTACTGGGTTCAATTCTGCAATTCTCAAGACTGGAAGAAATACCAAGCACCTGAAGTCAATTGCTTCCTCAGATGACGTATATTGCTTTTTCTGCAGGAAGCCAAATAGTCTGTTATTATGAATACTGTGTGCACCATACTTGTCCAAGGCTTAGCCACCCTCCAGGGCCGGTACTGGGGCACAGATAAGGGCTCACACTTGTGCAGAACCCTGCCTCGCACCCTAATCTGAGAATGCCCAGCTCTTGCACCTCAGCTCTGAACACTCTTCCTCCCACTTCAGGGATTTTATTATGGACTGAACTGTAATCACAGTAAATATCTTCCATGAAAAATGCCACCACACCAAAGGGAAATGAGAAGACATGGGTATCCTGCCAAAGGGTCAAGCATTTCCATGGGATTTAAGTACAAATGAGTTTGTTCTGAGTTTGCAACTTCATCTCATTTTGTTTGTTTTAGGTGAACTCAACAGCTACGGCGGGCAGCTCCTTTATAAGGCAGTCTGCCATACCTGTGCCCACTCTGTTTAGCTTAGCCATCACGGCTTCCTATGGCAAGGCATTTCCCTCCTTCATATCCACTATCACTCCCCATTTGCTTCCCTCAAGTTTTCCCTACCACAGGCAGCACTGCCCAATGTTAAAGCTCAGGGTTCTGCTTCCTGCCACAGCAGACAGTGAGGGTGAGACCAGCGAGGTGTGAAAGCCCCCTGCCCATCAACGGCAGTGGAGGGTTCCAGAGTGTCCTATGGAAGCAGGGTGGACTGCAGAGCCGCCCTCCACTCTGTGCTTCCCACTGACATCCCTGGAGGGGGCTCCCAGGTGCCAAGGCCTAGACAGCAGGCTTCAGCCTAGAGAAGTCGGAACAGGCCTGGCGCTAAAGAGGACTTAAGACCAGTCTGCCAAGGACAGCAAGCCTATTTCTGAGGAACACTGATAGTTTGAGGAGGATTTTAATGAAGGAGGATTCTAATGTGGAAACATCTCCATTTAAATGGCACATTCTGTGTGACTCCAATTTGGGGTCTAAAAGGTATATATGCACATGATGTGTGGGGGTGGAAGTCAGAAGGAGTGATAGATCCACCATGTCAGTGGCTTTATTCATGTGTGAGGGAGAGCGTGATGGGTGAGTGTGAAAATTAGGTGGAGCAGGCTTGGTAAGTGAGCATGGAGGGGTGTGAATGTGGGATGTGAGTGAACAGGTGAGTGGGAGGGCGAATGAGTAGATAGATTTAAAGAAGCTAGTGAGAAAATGTGTTAAAAATGTGTTCAAACATCCAAAGAAAAGAGTGTGAAAGAGAAAGCAAGCACGAGAGTGAGCGTGGACTTCGGATAATGTGAGCAAAAGTGAGTGAATGAATGCATGCGTGACTGTCAAAGAGTGCGTGTGAGGGCTAAGTGTAAATGGCTAAAAATGTGTAGGGCCATGTGACAGCATCTGTGCAAGAGTCCCTGAATGCTCTGTGGGTATGAGCTGAGGGTGAGCAAGATGGGAGTGAACGGGAGCACCAGTGACTGTGTGTGCACAACTCAGTGTGCAAGTGAGAAAGTGTGTGATTGAAAGTAAATATAAGTGGGAGTGTACTGAGTGTGTGTGTCCATAGTATGTACTTGCATGTGGATGACAGCGGGGGAGACTTGAAAGTGAGGGCCTGTGGGTGTGAGAGCAGGTGTCTGTGAGCACTTGTGCAGGGGGAGGGGCGGGCGTGAGTCCAGGTGTGAGAGGCGTGAAGTGTGATGTGTCTGAGGGAATGAGTGACTGCACATGCGTGGGCACATGTGCCAGAGACTGGGAGAGCAGGAAGTAAAAGAGCGAAAGTGTTGGTGAGGGAGTGGAGCAGAGGGGCTGGGGGTGGGGCAGTGGGGAAGACTTCATGGGTATGAAAGGAGGAAATAAATGAAAATACCCTTTCTCCCTTGAGTGATGGCGGTATAGTAACATTTTCATATACAATATTTTTTTTTTAATTTTTATGATGATCTCTAATTATGGTTATCACTTCTGGGGTAAACCAGGTGTCTCAGTGCTTCATTTCTGCTTCCCCTGCATCCCATCCCTCTGCGCGATCTTCCCAAGGCTTGAAAGGTCAACTTTGAATACAGTCATCTTTCTCCTGTCCAAAATGGCCTTGCCTATTCCCACCTCTCCCTGGCTCTGAGTAGTTCAGACTAGCCCAGGAGTCAAATGAGACCCTGGTCCAGTTCGGCACAACTATTTGTCTACACCTACAGTCGCTGAGTTTTGGTTCCTGGCTCACTCTCACATATACACAACATGACACAGGAATGGAATCAAATGCAGACTGTATCTAAATAACAGGTTCCCTCTGGTATAGTATCATATGAGAAATGTTTTCACTAAATTGTGAGGCTAAGTAGGGCTTGACTCTCTCTGTGAGGACCACAGAGGGTTCTTGGGGGCCTTAGGAGCCAGGCTGCCATCGTGCAGGGCCACTCAAACGGGAGACACCACAGGAGACGAAGTCAATGATTTCAGAAGCAGGATGGAGTAAGGGTTTCAAATGATGAGACTTTCTAGGTCTGTCATTGCTCTGTCCCAAACCCTGTTGATCTCAAGGCCCTACTTGTGACCTGTCCCTCCTCTGGGCTGTGGCACAAGCTGTTGCCGTTGACTGTGTCTCCTTCTCCAGATGTCCCTGTGCCTCACTGTCATCTGTGTCAAGGCCCTACTCAAATGTCACCTCCCCGGTTGTCTCTCCAAACCACCAGCCTCTGCACCTTCTGTAACCATTTAATGAAATTCATGTTTACCCCATTATTTTTCATGCTCCTTCCCCCAGCTCAAAGTAAGCCTCACAAGGGCCAGGACCTTATTTCTGCTGTTTATTGATGCCCTCCAGCATCTGGAAAAATGTTGGTCTTAAGTGGGGACTCAATAAATATCTGCTGAATGAAGGTAAGTCACTAAGTACAGAACTTATGGGCTCGAGAGTTATAACACTAAAGACAGGCGATGGGTGGATTCATCAGATGGACTGATGGTTAGCCCTTCTGGAAAAGCTGGGGGATAATTCTACAAGCCTCACTTTTCCACAGGATGTTTTAGATCTAAAATTGTATGTGAAAAAGATATACATAGAAAATTTTAGAATAAGCAAATTTAACATGAACTAATCTGGTCCCTGAGACTAACATCAGTTAGAAAACATGTTGACATACCACGGTCTCCTCCAGCCCTTTGAGGTCCTCTCGGGCTTGTTCTCTCTTATCATTGAGCAACCTAAAAAAAAAAGGGACTCATGAACCACCCCAGCATCTCTGCAGGTACCATTGCATCTGCAGATACGACAAACCAGCTCATACAAAGAGCCGCTGTCAGTTTTTAATTGGCTTTATCAAGCTAGACTATTTTAGTGTCTGAATCACCAAAGTAGACTTTTTAAGATTTCAAGAGATGAGAGAAAACAGAGGAAATATTTAAAGTGCACTCACAAGAGCTTTTCCAGTTTCATTTCTCTCTCTTGGTCCTCTATTTTCAGCTTGTTATAATCAGAACTGAGCTTCTCCTGTTCCAGTTGCAGTTTCTGATTCAAACTGAAATTGAGAGGGAAAAGCAATACATTCCACATCAGTCTGAAATCCCGAGTCATCTGCTAAAGACCTGGTTCTCTTCCAACCCCATTAGTTCTGTGCAATAAAGGCAGCAATTCTGGTGGATTTTGAAGGATCAGAGAACAGGGTTCACAGCTTCCTCCCTGTCCAAGTACAAACTAATTTCTGGGGAGTATCTAAGAGGCATGAAAACCGACTTTGAGGATATATTTTTAGTTGGCTTGTGCAAGAGCTCTGGAAGGAAAACAGTGAGATGGAAAAGGAGCTGATAAAAACAGAGAGAACAAGCCTGGTCAGAAGAATTCTGCCGTCTGCCCTACAGATGTCATGCACCCACTCAGGGAGCCTTATTTGGCCATTTCAACCTTCCCTTTCTCTCTGGTGTGATGTTCTGAAAACATCTCCCAAATCCAAATTCCTGGCTGACACAGGAGCCTTCCATGTGAAGCCCTCAAGGGGTGCAGAGAGAGGGAATACAAAACAATCCAGATCTGCTGCAAAACAGAAACCCCACCATCTGGCTAGGGCATTTGGTCATTTTTCACATGAGCTCAGTATTTACAATGAAGGCTTTCTGTGCGCCCAAGCCTCCCTGACCGAAGAACACATCACACATCTCAAAAAGAAAACCCATGGTCCGTCCGGAAGGCACAGGCAAGGGCACTCCCCACCCGCTAACTTGCTCATCCACCCACCCTCTTTCTTGCCTTCCTTCCCTTTCTCTTTTTCCTCCCCAGTTGAGCATTTTAAGGGTGATTAATCTGAATAATGAACATGAGGCATGCTTGAAGGGTAAAGCACAACACAAATGATAGCACTGGCAGTGGGAGCGGTCAGAGGGAGAAGGCAAGGAAAAGCTAGGTGCTTTCCAGCAGACCATACATGGAGTCCAGATCACACCATTTACACCTCTGCCTCGGTCACCATTCTCCCCTATTAAAATGCAAATGCACTGTGTGAACAGCTCACACCCACTGATGGGAGGACTGCATCAGCAGTCTGAAGAATTAGACTCTCACTCCAGTTTGATTCCTCTTTAGCAGGGCCACCCGAAGTAAACCATGAAAGCTTGCTCCCTTATAGACAACTGTTCCTTCATCTACGGAAAGCAGGAGGGTAGTGAGCCTTCTCTTTTACTTGGTGATTTTAAAATTATTATACTGCAAAGAGGTTGAAAGATTGCCAAGGCACCCACTGGGCAAACATGCTAAGAACCCTCAGGAGAGGAACCTGAAGGAACATCAGCTGGGAGCCTTCTGTGGTGCCACTGATGGAGAAGTCATTGTGGAGCAGGGGACTCATCAGTGGGAGAGCAAGACAGGGGAATGGCCTTGGATGCGGGGCACGCCAGAGTCAGGCTGTAATTGATGATAGCACCGTGGCAAACGCCACAGGCCCACCGCAGTGTGCACAAATACAGTGGGTCCCTGAGACCAGGTGGCTTAGAGCCTATATGCCTTGTGCTTGCTTGTGTTAAGGTGAGGAGGTGGTAGGAGCTGACTGTGTTCTTCTCTGGAGTATTTATCAACAAGTCAGGACCAATTTAGATTTTTTTCATGCTTACAGTGTTCCCACCTACTGAGGCTTGTGTCTGCCCAGCTGAGTCACCAACATGCCCTGCTCTGCAGGGACCAGGAAGGGCAGCTGGGCCCGCCTGCCACCTGCTCCATCAGAGGCCTCCAAGGCTCAATTCCAGAAAGGAGAACAGCCCTCAGAAGCAGCACATCCTGCTGCTGGTCACAAGGGCAGAGCACAGAGCCCGCCAGGCAGGCTGTCAGGGAGCTCAGTCATAATCCGTGTTCTTCCAGGCTGGCCAAAGAGCCAGCCCCCCTCCCCGCACCGCCACGCCCCATGAACCCCATGCCAGCTCACTCCCGAATCTCATCAATGATTTTCTGCTTCTCCTCAATTTCATCTCGAAGTCTGGACAGCTGCTTCTGGTGAGCTTCCCGGTGGCTCTCCATCTGCTGCTCCAGTGCCTTCTGCAACGCAGGCCAAGAGAAATGTGTCATCTACTCGTTGGCGCCCGGCCCGCTCAGTGACAAGCCCTGGAGCCCCTGCTTCTGCCGCCTACCCCACATGTCCCTCAGCTGTTCGATCCCAAACTGGAGAGTCCAGCACCTACCTTGCTCGACTGGGACAACAAAACCCCAGGATCTGTTATAAAACTGAGTGGAACTCAGAAGCAAATTAGCCCACCAGTAAGTATTTTCCCCCAACTTTCTACAGCTCAGCTCACCTGAGCCACTTGGCTTCTCTAGTCAGGTCATTCAGAGGGCGCGGACCCCTTAAGAGCCAGGGAGCCTCAGAGCAGACTCTAACCTATGTGAGCCACGCATCCACACCTGTAAATGTGATGTAACTAGCCCTGCTCTGCTTTTGCACAGACTCATGATTGAAAAGAGACTTCCGGCCCTCCCTAGTGGCACAGCAGGTTAAAGCACAGCACTAAGAAGCTAAAGCCACTTTAGCATGAGTTCGATCCCCGCCCTAGAGATGATCCACATGGCGCAGCAGACCTCTCCTGATCTGCCCGCTGCTCCCCTCAGCAGTGTACTTTGTCACTCGGCCTGTTCTGCTCCCCACTCTGTCTCTGGTGAATCCTCTCACCGCCTCTGCACCTCTGGCCTGTACCCAAATAAATAAATCTCTAAAAAAAAAATAAATAAAAGAGAATTCCTCATCAAAGTAATGTGACACCAGGGGAGGGCCCCAGGCAAGGCCTGGTTATGCCACTGATGGGAGCAGAACTGCACCAGGGGCATCACGTGGACTGGAGCTTCCACCATGGGGTTAGCCGGGAGTCTACCTTTCCTCATATCTCTTTTTCTTCACCTAAAAAATCTTAGTTCCCAACTATTCTTTCCTTGTGTTCCTTCTTGTTTTTAAAATGGGGTCAAGAATAAAGATTTTGGTAACTAAGATAGAATCTCATATTTAGGGTGTTTCTTTAAAAAAAGGAAAAAGGGGAAATGTTTTCTTCCACTCAAAGGAGGGGTGAGCATGTCTTCAGTAGCCAGCCCCAATGCCATGGTGGCCCCGCAGCGACCGGCAGCTGCTGCTCCTTCTCTGTTCACCAGCAGCAGTGAAGAAAACGCACTAATGCAACCTAACTATTATTCACTGACCTCTGGGGGTCCTGAGCACCTCCGTCTTCATCTCATTTCTCAGCCAAGCCACACTCTGGGAAGGTCTCTAAATGCACAGCACTGCCCCCCACCCCCTTGCTCCCATACTGCCACACACGCCTCGATGGGGACAGATTTTCCAAGAACAAGAAAATCCAAGCCAAATGCATGCTGGGCGTGGTGAAGGGGCAGCTGTACACACCTTCATTTCCTCAGCATCCTGCAGTCGCGTCAGGTGTTCCTTCTCCTTATCCTGGAAGCTGACTTCATGCATTTTTTCTGTTAAATTTTAAATGATGATTTAACATTTGACAGTCAGGACACACACCCAGAAGTCAAAAAAAAAGTCAAAAAAAAAGAAAAATGGCAACGGAGTGAAACAACAGCTTCTATCACCAGCCACAACCACAGCATCAAGGCGACTGCCCGCAGGAGGCCTTGTAAAGCCACTGTGCGGTGGTGACCTAGGTCCTAGAAGTGATTCCAGGGGAAAGGTGCCTACGTGAGGGCCACTTGAGACTAGCCTGGCTCGGTGTCACCCCACACCTCGGGGATTGGCTCTCCACCTCGCCCCGGTGAGCAGCTCTTGCGGCAACATGTGTACCTGTGCTTTGAACATTATACAGCACCCTGTGGATTTCATGGGCACCTGGATTTGTACCACCATTAGAATTCCACAAAGAGCTAATTTACCTCCCGTGGGTAAGCTGTTTATTCTCTAAGATTCAAGAGCAAGAAAACAAACTCTAAGGATAAGAACAAGAAGAACAGAAATATGAAGGGATGCTCTCCAGACCAAACAGAGCAGGGCCCCAGTTCCAGGGCAGGGCTGCCACCGTGGCCTCCAGAGGGTCGGCCAGCCTATTCTCAGAAGTCTCGGTGCTCTCTGGACACACGTGCAATGGGCAGCCTGAGCTGGGGGTGGAAGGGGGAGCAGTTTAAGAAGTGACATGCACAGCATCTCATTTTCCCGTTAGTCTGCTGTGCTTTTAATAAATTTCAGGTCTTCTCACTTCTCCTTTATTTCTGCTCAATGCTACCACTGCCAAAACCATTTGCAAAAGAGAAAAGTTCTTTGGCAATTCAAGTTCTGGGTGGAGCATTGTAGTCTTAATATTCACTTGTTATTATATAAAGAAAACATTACCACGTTAGAGTTTGCAGGGGTAGGCATGTTCTCTTTTTAAATTTGCCTTGGCATTTGAAACACACACACACACACACACACACACACATCTATACACGGAGGAAATAAGTGTGTAATAAAAAAAGAATTTTAGCTCCAATCCTACTACCTTATCAGAAACATTTTCATTTCAAATGTTAACTTGCAGGTCTCAGAATACAAGTATCCGCAGATTTTTAAACTACAGTCAAGATCACATGTAAATTTCTAAAGCTGCGTTTTAAGTCCTTATGTACTTCATCTCCAATACAAAAAGAAAATTCAAGAAAACAACAGTTCTGGTGGGCTTTCTTTCACTACCATAAGTAATTCTGCAATGAATAGCTGAGATTTGGGGAGTCAAAAGGAAAAAGTGTTACGGTTATTATCTATTTTCAAAATATTTCCAAAATGACTTTTAATTAATTTTCACTGCAACCTAAAATATGTGTGTTGCCATTTCACCACAATGCAGTTAACTGTGTTCTGGTTTCTGTATTTCTACAGTAACCTCTCTTGAATGTCTACTGTTATTTATCTTTTATCAAGTGTTTTCTATGTGTCAGGCACTTTCCCAAAATAAAAGGGGTGAGGCCGCTGACTGGCAAATGGAAGGGTTTTATTTAAAGGGTGGGTGGTGCCAGGTAAGCCCTTTCAGACTTTGTGTTAAGAGCACTGGACACTGGGAAAAGGTCAGCAGCACGGGCTGGACACAAGATAGAATCTGATTTTAAAACAGTTTCTTGGGGTGTTGCATGGTGGCCAACCTAGAGCAGACTGGGGATGGGGCTTTGCTGGATGGATGTGGCCACCATTCTTAATTAGGATTAAGGACAGTGACAATGAAGTTGGTAATGAGGAGCAGAAAGAAAGGAGCATCTGGTGGGTCATACCGATGGGCCTTGGTGACAGACTTGTGGCAGGAAGTGAAGAAGGAAGAACATTCTGCCCCAGGGAGCAGGGAAATGAGGCACAGATACAGGGAGCAGGCAGACTTTCTACATGTTTCTCTTTCCTTTCCCCCCATCATGCCATTGTTTTTAGAGGCTCTTAAAATGCTTTAATTGAACAAAATTAAAACATCATGAGACAAGCCAACTAGAGTATCTGACGGAGGCCAAGAATTTGACACCTATAAAGCAGTCAGTTATTTACCTTGGGCCCGGAGCTTGGCCAGCTCTTCGCTGAGTGAGTCCTGGGACTCTTCCAGCTGCCTCCTCTTTTGTTCCATGTTCTGCATGTAGTCTGTCAGCGATTTGATCTTGGCTTCATGCTTTAAGTCACCAAAGAGATAAAAGGAGTGAGTGACTAGTAAGTGGTCACCCAGGCTTGCCTGGGACTACCTGATGGGAAAAATGGAGGCATCACTGAGTTATGTTTTGGAGGCCAACACCAAAAGGAATATTCGGTCCTTTGCTGGGGAATCAGAAGCCCCAACTAACATGCTGTCTGCCTCTTGTAGGTGTTTCTCTACTGCATCCCCCAGACATTCCCACACCTCCCTCCCAACAAGTTCACTGAGACCCCAAAAACCAAGCATGTTTTCTTCCTCACAGAAGAGTGGGCTGTTGAGAAAGAATAGCAAAAATACCTAGGGCTGGAGACCTCAATCTTTGAAGCTGCACCTTAGATTCCATCTTTGTAACTAAAATACAATGTCTTTTCCCTTCTGTCTTTCACACACACCAATTCTCATTGCAAGGAGTTTTACATTCTCTGCCCCACCACCCTCCCAGATATGATTCTGAATAAATCCTTACCATGCAAGCCTCAAATTCTTATAGCAGCTAAATTAATTCTACATGATTTTTTTTTCTTACTTATTAGCTCCATGAGGATTTAGAGTAGGTGTGTAACTAATATTAGTAGGATGAGTGAATAAATGGGGATTCATTGGCTGAGCAGGGACAGTAGTAAGTAAGAATATTCCTGGAGCTTGAGTTCTTAATCTACTAAAATAACCTCTGGTAAGTGGGACATAGTTGCAACAGCCATTTTATAAGCCTTGCTTTTGGTAAAGAGGATGAGTGCAAACAAAAAACACAGATTTCTATTTCTAAATATTCCTTAGATTGTGTCATATAAAAAAAGAGTCAAAGAGCCAAGCTTTCTCTTCTGTTCCTTTTGAATCCCATAAAATAATGATTAAATCTTGGGCTTTGCACAAATCTCAACAAAGTACAAAATAGCCTAATGGGAAACGCTACTTGTTGCTAATGTAGAGAGCACTAACAGGGTATTCCTTAATCTCAAAATATACCAGTATTCTTTTCTCTGATCTCACACATCCAAAGTCAGTGTCACTCTAAGATCCAGGCAAGTAGGGTCCTAGACTGGGGCCCCAGACTTTAGAACTTAGGCTGCACTTCACTCCACTGAACAAAGGGTTCATAAGCTGGGGGAGTATACTCACCTGAAGCCCATGTCCCCTTCCAGACCACACTAAGTACTGGGGATCTACAACAACCCCAAGTCACTACCAGGCCTGGTGCTAACTGCTGCCACCATCCATTTACTCAGATTACATCTGACACAGTCACACAGTTCCATTGGTTCACAGCGTGTGCTTAAAGAAGTTGGACATGGAGGCTGGTATGAAAAGCTCGAATGAGAACGCAGTGAGAGGGCTGTGAGCGCAGGGTCCCTGTGTGAACTCACCCTGGCCTTCACACCTGAGAGGCAGGAAGGCCAAGGGAACACGCTGCCAGCGTAACAGGTGATTTGGAAAGCACATCTGAGGTACACTGTACTCTAGTATATATATTTCTTCTCAACTTCCTTTCTCAATGTTGAAAAATTATACAATGTGAAGTAGCAAAGCAATTCCAGAAAAAGTGGTGTACACTTCATCTGCAAACCACTTTAACTTATTAACCATCCTCAACACCCCCATCTTTACTGAATGCATATTTTACATAGTTGCCACACATAGCAAAAATGTAACTCAGCATGTTCTTTTGACATATGTAACTATACTGCCTTAATGAAGAGATTTTTCTATAACTTTTTTGTGAGAGCTTATAATATTCCTCCATGTAATTTTATTTTTAATCTAGGTATACTTTACTGGATACTTTATTTCATTATAATGTAAAGTAATACTCTCAATACTTTGCATATAAGCTTTTAATATTTTTAATCAGGAAACACTATGTAAATTAAAAATGTTTTAGGTTTATTGACAAAACAATACTATCCATAAAATTACTGGAACAGAGTATATATAAATTACTATGGTTTTTGATTTCCAAAGTGCTTTCCAACAGAACTGATCACATTGTATTTTTTCTAACAGTGTATATCAATTTCACTATAACACCCCAACAATGAAAAATCTTAATTTTTATTGATATGTTAGTTATTAAATGGTACTTTGTTACTTTGAAATTACCTCTCAGATCATAATAGTTAGAGACAAGGAGAATAGAGATGTTCCTATGATTGGTGTATTAACTATGGGAAAGTAGACCTGTACAAAGCATGTTTTTGTCATTCAGTATTATTTGACACATTACTCCATGGCAGATGCTGTCTCCCCCAAGGACTTCAGCTGTTGTAATGTTTGGTATAAGGCAGTGAGCAGCATATATTGCATCACTCACAGAAACCTGAAATTCCAAACACCAAGTTCAGGAATCAGTGGCAGACCAGAAACTAGATGGCTGTTTTCTGAAACCACCCATACTAAAGTGGAAATGCCATTCCAGAGGGGAGAAGAGCAGACTTGCTCATAATGAATTGTGCCCTAGGGCCAGAAAGACCTTCAACAATGAGGGTTAACACACACTTTAGTCTGAATTTCACCTGTCTTTCAATGGCTGTATGCATTTGCAAAACATATTATTTCTAATTCTCAATTTCCTGATCCAAAAAAACAGAAACAGTGAGAAAATCTGCTTCGCCTGAATTTTTTTTTTTTTAAGATTTATTTATTCATATAGAACTGGGGTACAGGCCATAGATGCGGAGGGTGAGAGGATTTACCAGAGACAGAGCGGGGAACAGAACAAGCAGATCAACGAAGTACACTGCTGAGGGGAGCAGCGGGCGGGTCAGGAGAGGTCTGCCACACCATGTGGATCTCCTCCGGGGCAGGCGGGGATCGAACTCATGTGGAAGTGGCTTAAGCTTCTCAGTGCAAAGCTTTAAACCCACTGCGCCACCAGGGAGGGCCCTGAATTTTTTTTTTTTAAAGATCAACTGTTGAGATAATGTGTTTAGCCCAATGTTTGGCATATAGTAAACACCCAATAAAATGTCACTTGCTACCACTATTAGTAATAGTACGACTTGTAGTGGCTTCTGCTTCCTGATACTAAATTGGACCTATGGTAGAGATTAAAAGATGAAGGAATGTTGCCTTAGCTGACATGTGTTATAGATTTCACTTCATCTTGTCTGTTCATCACATCTCCATTTATCTATCTGTCTATCCAAACGTAGCTAGCTAGAGATTTATCAATGCATCCTTTACAAAGGATTAAGAAAAGGTGGGAGAAAGCAGGGCAGAGGTGACCCAGTGACCCATGGTAAAGACCTCGGGTACTTTGGTCGTCAGTGCAGTGATATTCATCTGGGAGGTGTGAACATATTTCACTGTACCATATACAGGATTGTAAACCAATGTTACATCAAAAAAAGGTAATAAAAGAATTTATGTATCTAAATGTATCCAAATCTAAAATGTAGTTGCCAAAGTACTTATCTTCAAATATAACTGGTCTTCATTAAAAAAAAAAAAAAAACCTGAAAAGGCCCTCCCTGGTGGCACAGTGGGTTAAAGCAGAGCACTGAGAAGCTAAAGCCACTTCCGCATGAGTTTGATCCCGCCTGCCCCGGAGGTGACCACATGGTGTGGCAGACCTCTCCTGACCCGCCAGCTGCTCCCCTCAGCAGTGTACTTGGTGGATCTGCCTGTTCTGCTCCCCACTCTGTCTCTGGTGAAACCTCTTGCCAGCCCTGAGCCTCTGGCCTGTGTCCCAGTTCTGTATGTACAAATAAATAAATCTTAAAAAAAAAACTGAAAAATTCGTTTAAGTAGATGGGCCCTCCCTGGTGGCACAAGGGGTTAAAGTGCAGCACTGTGAAGCTATCAGCAACCACTGCAGCCTGAATTTGATCCCCAGTCAAGGAGCTGACCCACTTGGCACAGCAGACCTCTCCTGTCTTGTCCACTGCAATGTATTTCAATCAATCTGCCTGTTCTGCTCCCCACTCTGTCTCTGGTGAATCCTCTCACCCCCTGCATCTCTGGATTGTACCCCAGTTGTTGTATGCATAAATAAATAAATCTTTTTTAAAAAATTATTTTCAGCAAAAAGGAACTAAGATAGTACTTCAGGTCCCTCACACAACAAAGCTGAGTCATATGGTAAAGCCTGGGCTCTCACTCTCTGGAGACCACAGGCAAGTCAATGTAAAGCAAAGTCTGACAACTCTCACCTACTGTGCACCACTGGCTCAGTAAGAGCAGAGAGCAGCAGGTTTCAAGAGAACATAGTGTGAAATTAGGAGGACAGGGTGAGCTACCTGGGAGATGAGCAGCTGGCAGGCCGCCAGCTCCCGCTCACTGGCGTTCATCTTCCTGTTGGAGTCCATCTGGGCGCTCTCTAGCTGCTTGCTGCGGTTTACCAGGGACTTGACCTCCGACTTCATCTTGCTGATGTACAGGCGGGCCATGGTGAATTCCTCTTCGATCACTCCATTCACATCTGCCAACTGTCACAGGAAGAAACACCCTCAACTTCTGTCTACAATCCAGAGGTTCTTGGGGTTTCTGAACCTCTCAGTGGATCCTTAAGATATCTGTGGGTTTCTGGTTGAAAAGCTCTAATTATAGGACTGCAATTGAAAGTGATCTCTGAAAAATGCTACATGTTCAAATTCATTCTCTGAAATTTTGATATAAATCTCGCCATTAGATATGATCCCCAATTAACCAGATCTTGACTTTTATAATAAAAAGTTATTAGGAGAAAAAGACTTTTAAGATTGATAAAAGAGGTAACTGATGGAGTGTTCCATTCAATGTCATATCTCCCTAGAACCACAAAGAGGTTCAATGTTCCTTAAAGGTGACAGAAAGCCTATAAGAATTTAAATCAAAATTGGAGTCACTTCCCTATAGTCCACTATTTGGGAAGAAAAGCGTGAATTTGTTTCTGTAAGCAAGGGCTGAAACAAAAAGGATTTTCTATATAGCCCTCAAATAAACAAAAATGAATAAGAATGTACTATTACAAAAGACCCTATGGATGAAAGGTCTCCTACATTCTTACTACAACCTACTCTCCCTGCTTCTACATGACTGCTCCTTCCCAGCAGGGAATCTGGCTTATTATTTAAGATCTCCTAAGTCTAAATTCATATTTGGAAGAGAAGATTCTGACATCAGCATTGCTGGATGGCCTCATACTTGGATTCTATGTACGAGAACTCTAGTGAAAACAAAAATTACAGTAAGATTCTTAGGCTAGGAACCCATGTGCTAAGACGCAAACACGGTCTTGAAGGACAATTGACCAAAGGAACAAAAATAACTGTGTGCATATTTTGTTTAACCACCAGAGGTCACCCTAGCACCTTGGGAGAAAACAAGACCACTGTCCATAACACAGCCTGTGAATAGAGATGTTCCAGTTGGTTCTAAGATGATTCCTGTTATGATTTTATATTTCACAGTATACTCAACACTGCCTAGTTTTGACATTATCGCTATCATATTTTAAGTTCAAAGAATTATTTTTTCCAGTAAATACTTGGGAGTTTAAAAGAAATGAGTACCAACCCTGAAAATGGAGAGCAGATAGGAAGCCCACTAGATGACACTGTAACTTCACATCAACCTCCCACAAAGAATTCAACAACAGTATTTGTTAAATCAGCCCAGTGTCCATCAAAACAAGACAGAATCTACAGAAAAAGATCTACAGAAAGAAAATCTACAGGCATTCCATCTTAATTTAATGGAGGTTCTCACTAAGCGAGTTATATTTCTGACTTCTTGCAATTTACCACTTTTCATCACACTCCTTTTTTAATCCATCAGCATGGTGCAGACAGATGAGAAAAGCCTACAATCTCTAAGTTCAGTTTTGTTCTTCTACCACTGTTGATTACTCTGGCGTGAAGCAGAGGTGAGAATCTCCCTTTTTAGTTTAAACAGATATACGCTATACATTGTATTGACCAGCAGAGAACATGCAGTTCTTCCATGTGGAATTCACAGCCCCCACCAACAAACACCACGGTATCACCAGCAGGAGGGCACCCTGGGAAGGACAAATACCCCCTCCCTAGGTCTGTCCCTGCACTAGAGCCCTTTGGGATCTATGTCCACATCCCACATGAGCTGGGGACAAAGAAAATAAAATGTAATAATGGGCTCCCTCCAAAGTGAGAGCTGAATGTTTCTCCCCAAAACCAAAACCATAACTTTGAAAGCCTATTTTTGTTCTAGAAGCTCTAAAAGCGAATTCTGGGTCCACACATAATGGTTAAAAAAAAAACAAAACTCTAAATGGGTTTAACTGTGAGACTTTTTACCACTTGAAAGTTCATATATTTAGTCATTTAAACTCAAAGCTTTCAGTAATTCCAGTATACTGTTATTTCAAAGAGAAGAATCAGAGCTTGTTGCTGAAATGTTATTTATAACTCTCCCTGGGCTCTGATAATGACTCTAACAGTGCTCTGGACAGTGTGAGCCGGTACGAATGACTAATCCAGTAGAAAAGGCTGCCTTCCTCTTCACCCTGCCCACAGAAGAGGCCTCATCCTCGAGTCCCTAGAGCATGAAGTGGCTGTGCAAGGTGCTTTTTCTAGGTCACATAGGTGATTCATATCTAATACCTTAAAGTCAGAATGGGAACAAAGAAAGAATGGGAGGAAAATAATAGGTATCATATCCAATACATTTCATTTACTCTATATCAATCTCTTCATTTTGTGGCTAGATTCTTGAAAAATCTATGTTTTAAGGAACATAAAACAGAGGAGAAAGGTCACTAATAGTGCCGGATAAAGTCCCCACTAACTGCAACGTGTCATTTGCTGATTTCATCTTGTTTTGCTGACAAAATATTGTCTGGACAGTTGAAAATGTTTCAAGACATAATGGAGCTGGAGAAATATGAATTTACTTGTTTCCTTGCTGTTCAGGCCTGTATAGCAACTGGAACTGAGAAAGATTCCAAAGCTACTTCTATCCCTCACCCCATTTTACCAAGAGGACTTTGTGGGAACTGAAAGGTTTTAGGAACAAAAATATAAAACAATTGAAAGGTTTTCAAGATTTGCTCATTTTCTTAGATCAAGCATGATACCAATCAAATAATAATGAGCAGAAAGAAAATTATCTATAATAAGTAGAACTACATCAAACTAAAACTTACACATAGCAAAAGAAACATTCCACAGAATGAAAGGGCAAGCTATGGAATGGGAGAAAATATTTGCAAGGGATTGATTAATGTTCAGAATATATAGAGAACTCAGAGAATTCAATAGAAGGAAAAATAAAACAACTAAGAATCAAATTAAAAAATGGGCAGAGGATCTGAATAGTTTTCCAAGGAAGACAGAAATGGCCAACAGGTACATGAAAAGGTACTTGAAACCACTAATCATCATAGTCACGGTGACATTTTACAAACTCACAACTGCTACAATGGTCATCTTCAAAAAGAAAAGAGGATGAGTACTGGAGAGGACATGGAGAAAAGGGAAACCTGTATACTGTCAGTAGGGATACAAATTGGGATGACCACAACAGAAAATACAGAAGCTCCTTAAAAAAATTAAAACTAGAGGGCCCATCCTGGTGACAGTGGGTTAGAGCACAATACTAAGAAGCTAAAGCCACTTCAGCATGAGTTTGATTCCTGCCAGGGAGGTGGCCCACATGGTGTGGCAGACCTCTCCTGAGCCAACTGCTGCTCCCCTCAGCAGTGTACTTCATCAATATGTTCTACTTCCCACTCTGTCTCTGGTGAATCGTCTCACCACCCCTGCACCTCTGGTTTGTACCCCAGTTCTGTATACATAAATAAATAAATCTTTAAAAAAATTAAAACTAGAATTACTATATGCTCAGGAATTCCTTTTCTGAGATTATAACCAAAGCTAATCAGGATCTCAAGACATGAAAGCAACCTAGCCTAAGTGTCTGTCAGTGGATGAAAGGATAAATAAATGGTGTGTGTGTGTAAAATGGAATATTATACACAAACATACATGTATGTACACACATATACAACACATGTATTATGTACAGTGGAATATTACTCAGCCACAAAAAGGATGCCCTACCATTGCCCTTTTCTCAAAATATTTTATTGCCCCTAATGTTTTCCACTGTAGTTGAAAAATGAAACAGCAGATGGGGGAAAGAGGTGCTATTGCACTTTATGATGTCACTTATATGTAGATGCTAATGGAGATAAACTCAGAAACAGAGGTGGTTACCAGGGGGTGGGGAGGTAAGTAAATAGGGAGATAATCAAAGGGTAGAAACTTTCATATATAAGATTAACAAAGTGCAGATCTAGTGAAGAACGTAAGAGATTATAACAAAAATATTATATACTTGTTGCTAATAGAAAACATCTTAAATGTTCTCACCACAAAAATGAAATGGTAACTATTAACTATGTCACATGAGACAGCTGGGTGTTAACAGCATGGTGGGAATCATTTTGCAATGTGTGATATGAACCAAATCAACACAACTTAAATGTACACAATAGGTATGTCAGTTGTATTTCAATAAGGAAGAGTAAGTGGGGATATTTGTGCCCGTAATGACAAAGCTAAGAAATTATTCAGTTGACAACCGTCATGATAATCCTGGGTGTATTTTGTCACTTTGCAAATCAGGAAACTGAAACCCAGAAAAGTGACTGTCCAAAGTCACATAATTTCTCCTTTAACTCTCATCACCCTAATGATTAAGTCATAAATTCGGGGAGGGGGGGAAGAGGAAGAAAACAAAACAATTAAGAATAAATGCTCTAGAAGTGAGAGTTATCAATGAAATTAACTGGTTATCAATGAAGTTAACTATGACATCCAATGTCTGGAATCCAAAAATACCTTTAAAACAACCAGTTGAGTATTTAAAAATAATCTCAATCATACTTCAGATTCCCAAAGGAAAAGACTTTTAATGCCAGGCACCCAGACACTCCTTGATTTCATTAGCATTTTTCATCAGTTCTATTTTAGAACTCAGCATAAAAATATCTTCCTTTATCATTATCAGCAGGCACCAACTCCCATAAATCAACATCACTTTCATATCGCGAGGGTCATCTAATCAACCAATGTCAGAAGTTTACTGCTCAACACCAATGTATGCTTCTAAATTCTTAACCCTCAAATGTACAATCATCAAACTGGAACATAATAGGGTTAATCTTACACTAACCAAGAATTCGATGATAAAATTAGATTCATTCGCAAAGATTCATGAAATATTCAGTTACAATAGAGGTCCCATGAAAGAATGATTAGGTTTATAAAAGGTCGTATAAGCCTGAAGCCATTACACTATCCAAGAAGGGCCTTCTATGTTTTCCAGAAATGTCTATAAACAAAAGCAATTCGAAGAATCTTCTCTGGTATTTAAAAATCTCAACAGCCAGCCTGAGCACTCCAATAAAGCAGACTGATATAGAATTCACCCTTTTGTAAATCTAATGGCTACACTCAAAAATTTCATTTTAGGGACTTCTGAGCTGGAAGTTGAGCATTACAAAACCATTTCCAAGTTTGAAAAAACCAACACATGTTTATCAATGGCTTGTCAATGGTTCATAATATTATTATGAAGCTACCGTTACTAAAGGAGCAATACTGGCATAAAGATTACATTAATGCAACAGAAGAGAGAGACCAGAAAGCGTTCCATGCATTTCCAGAGGTGAAGGATGTGCTCAGCTTACTGTTGAGATGCTTTCGTGAGTGTATTCTTAAGGCAAAACTTTTCAAACCGTGCACTGTCAATGTGTGCAGATTACGTTATGTCACTTACACCTCATAAAGCTATTTCCTTTCAAAGTCACAGTACAAAAACAGACAATTATAAACCAGATAGGTCCTATAGGGGAAGGGGACAAAGAGGGATCAGGAGGAGGGAGGAATGTGGGGGCTATGGTGAGGATGGGAGTGGGAGGGGGGAAGTAAACACTGTATAAAGTGAACAATAATTTAAATAGAGATATAGAAATTTTGTCAATAATTTATAATATTACATAATCTTATTTTTAAAAGTCACTATCTAATTTTTAAAAAACAAGCAAGTTATTGCTTGTTCGTAAAGGTAACAATATTTATTCTGTCTTTTTCCTCTCTCCCTGGCTCGTGGACAGCTTTATACCACCTTCATTCTCCCTACCCCTCTTACCCATGCCTTGTTGTCAATGGCACTGATATGCAGTTTTAGTGGATTATTATTCATGGTTGGTTTAAGGTAATTATAATAATCCTATTTCTCTTTGCTTTCTCAGCTTCCACTGCACTCTGGGGGTGACCAAATGACCCCATTCTGACTAGCAAAGGGATGTCCACTGGGATCTTCAGGAATATATCTTCCCCCTGAATGAAAACAGCTGCCTTTTCAGCCCCTCCTCTCTTGGACATGATTATGTAAGGATGTGGTCAGTGCTATAAGCTATCTTGCAACCATGTCGCAAAATTCTGCTCATATGAGAAGGGAAGGGAGAAACAGAAGGGTAGCAGAGAAAAGGCCTGGATCCTTGCCACTACTGACACACAGCACCAAACTAAAACTTGCTTCTAAAACTTCAGAAGGATACAATTCACCTGAGAATCCTGTTAAAATGCAAATTCTGACTCAGTGTGATATTTTCAAGAGGCTCCAAGGTGATGCAAATAGCAGCCTAAAATAAATAGCAAGATCCTAAATTTCTTATATTGTGAATAATTAAATGTGGCTTTATTTTTTAATTCACTATTAGAATCCTATTAATATCGGCTGAAAGCTTTCCTAATTCACACTGATTGGTTGGGGAATTTTCACACTGTTGGATTCTCACAGAAAGCAATAAACACAGTTTCTGAGTCTGGAACTGTGTTTAACCTACAGCATACAAATTTGAGAAATAAACCAATTTATATAATGTCAATCAAGGGTTGAAAATATTTTCGATGTTGAAAGGTAACGTTTTCTCCTGCTCCTTACCCAAACAACCATTCAGTAAGTCATTCAATCAGTCCTTCGTTCTGGCATTCAAAGATAGCACACGGCAGATGCAAAGAACTGTGGCTAAGCATTGGATAGCTAAGAAAATAAAACACAGACCCTGAAAGCTTATGATCACACCATCATTCAGGCATGCCAGAGAGGAATAAAGAAAGGCGGGCTTACAGTCTTCACGTCATTGGTGCCAATAATTCCACCTATCTCCCCCAGATCCTTCAATAGCAAATTCAAGATTTCAGTGGCCCTCTTTTTCTGGTGGTTGCTAAGCTCTTGTAGCTGGTTCAGCTCTCTCTGTGTGGTTGTCAGTGTTGTCTGAAAAACATTTTAACAATAAAATTAAAAGGGTTACCATCAATTTTAGACCTATAGTCTTGCACAGAACAACAACATAATGTAGTAAGGAATTCGTTGTGTGTCATTGCAGCATAGCAGTCCTACTCAGGCAAACGAAATGATGGCACAGCAATCTCTGAGAAGAGGAGGAGGAGGACTTTATCTTGACCTGGTATGTATATCAGGTGACAAATTCCAGGTCAGTAAATCAGGTTTATGTTATTAGAAATAAATAAAGCCTGAAAGAAGTGCTTAAGTTTATAACGTTTAATCACACCATCCTATTTACCAGATGTTACATTTCAGTCCACATTCACCTGGGCCTAAACATACCTGCAAGCGTCCCCACCTCCATTCCCAGACAAAGCTGCTCCCTGGACAACTTCCAAATTCCCATCTGAGTGCCCAATAATAGATGGGCCTGGAAGGTCCAAAGGGACATTAATGAGCTTAGAAAATGTCTTGCAATCTTCACAGTGAAACTGAATTAGACACTATTCATCTCTTCGAAATTAATCAAGTTTATGAGGAGATGGTTTCTTAGTCTAAAGCAAAAGCTCATTTTATTGCCAAGCATTAGCAAACCACCTTCATTTCCATCCCTGGTGTGTTACCAAAACAATCATCACCAAATAGTATGTGCATGTGTGTGCATGTGCATGTATACATACACATAACATACATATATATTTAACTTCAATCCTCAATACTAATAGAATAGCCATCTTTTGATGACCTGGTATTAAGTCAACAAAAGAAAATAATCCCCCTCAATTATGGAGCTGTGGAAGTAAATTCAAAGAATTTAAGCAATTCTTTCATATACAACTATTTTACTAGAGCTCTTTTTAATGGTATGACTAAAACTGGAACTCTGAACATGTCTTTGTTTGACAGAAAATAAGAACTGTATTATGGAAAATGCTTGTTTTGAGGAGCAAATAACACCAAAGACTAGTTAAAAGAATCCTGTAGAAACGGCAAGCAGAAAGATCCAATTCTCTTCTCTAAGTGACTTGTGCTTTGTTTTTTATTTGTTTGTTTTGGGTTTTGGCACTGATGCTGATTTCATTTTGCTTCTAAAACCCACACTGGTTCCCTGCTTGGGGAGCCATTTAAAAAGTCTGCCCCACGGTGTGAAAGTGAATGTGTGGACTGAAGAGTATTTCCCATCAGCTCTATGGTCAGCAGATCAGAGCTTCCCTGTACCATCTGCTATTTCTCCTTGGCCAGGAGGACTGGATGTTTTCCACAGAACAGGCTGGGCATAATCCCATGACAACAGGCCATGGGGCCAAGGTTCCAAGGGCAGGCAGCTCCAGACTCAGCTCCTACCATCCATTTTCCAAGTAGAAAAGGACAAAATGGATACATCCCACCACCAGGCATGTCACCAGATGCTTGCTGGCCCCGCTGCCACAAACTCTCTGTGTGAGGCCCTCAGAATCTTTCTCTGGGAAGCTAGGAAATGGGTAAACTGAAGCATTGGCTTAAACCATGACAACAGGTTTCAGTGAGGACAGCTCAGTCCCGGGTGCAGACAAAAATCTGTGTGAAGGAAATTAATTTCACTCAGGCAAGTGGAAGTAAAAGTGAAAAACGTACCTTCTATGTGTTGCCCAATCTTGCCTGTTGAATTAACATTTTAAGATTTATTGCTATCATAGCACGTGGCACATGCAAAGACCCCAACTGTGAGCTAAGAGTTTTGGCTAATTTTCATCCCCTGAAGGAGCATGTTGTTATCACCATTTTTACAGATAAGCAAAGAATAAATTGTCTCAATTAAGGTCTTATACTTGTTATGTCATATATTTAACTAGATTTTTCTGGTTTTCACTTTCTTGACTAATGTATAAGGCATGCCTGCTGGTGTTATACATCTGGACATAAACAGTTGTGATGTATATTTTTAGAATGAGTTGGGCATAAGTCACTCAGACAAAGTACTGCAATTATTGGAGGGACCTCAGAGACTGCATTCACATCTAACAGTGAAAAACCATTCAGTCAACTGCCTTCCTATATAGTGCCTGTCAACAAAATTATGTAAGTAAAGGAATGGCAGCCAAAAATGTCCCACCCCCTAGACACAAATGTTCCAACCGTTTTCTGGGCCAGTTCATCTGTCAGCTGCTCATTGGCCCTGGTTTTATCCTCCACCTCCTGTGACTTCTGATCATAATTGACAGCCAATTCCTCCAGGGCCTGGAGGACTTCCTTTACTTCATCTTTGGCTGCCTCATTTTCAATCTGGAGACGCGTCAGCTCCTCCTGGATCTTCTCATAGTCTCTTCTCGTAGAAGCTAAAAGCTGGAGAAATGAGATGCCATGAACTGGGGATGAAAGGTCAAGGTTAATATCCTGTGTTCTAGCCTAAGTAAAGTACTTTTTATAAATAGGTAAAACAAGCTGGAAAAGCTCAGCATAACTTTAAACCCTGCTGTGGTCCAGATGCTAAATTTTAAAGTAGACAGTTATCATTTCAAAAGTATTTTTCTTTTGCAATTGAAAGTTACATAGGCTTAACTCAAAAAATTGTGGCATTTTTAAGCTGCCTGGCTATTTCACATGTTGAACTAAGGATAGGGGAGATCATTTCCAAGGACCAGACTACTACTTACGTGGCTTTTGAATATTCACATTATATTTGAGTTTCACCTTATATACATGTCAATTTTATAGTCAAATGAAACACAGTCCTCACTCTTTCTCTCTATTTATCATGTATCTATAGAAAGATAGATCCCAAACAGCAATACTAGTTAAAAATAAACACGTGGGTTTGCAGATGTCTTCATTTTCTTTGTGCATGTTCTATTTTCTGATTTTCCAACAATGAACACATATTGCCTTGATAACACAGAGAGAAAAATTCAGTTGTAACTGACTTTTTTAACTATCACAGAGAGTTGCACCCACTTGAGGATGTAAAAAGACTAACTGAGGAGGACAGGACACACCAAACAATACAAGACTCCAGTGTAAAGGAGAGAGAAAGTAAACACGGTTCATCTGATTGCAAAGGCACAGAGGACCATCCCGCCTGGGTGGGGTGGGGGTTGTTTGGATGGGGACAAAGTCATTTCCCTGAAGAGAGGAAGGGGAACAAAGACAAAGAAATGGTTACAGTGTCTTCATGGGGTGGGGGGCATGAACCCAGGCCACCTGCTACAGTTGCATCATGCCCTCCAATCCATCACATTTTAGCAACAAAACAAAAAGCACCCTAAAGCATGAAAGAGGAAAAACACTTACATGGGCCTCTGTAAGAGAATTACCAATCATCTATTTTTGATAGACTGGCTGTCTGTCCTTTGCTTAGAGGTTCCTGTTTGTAAAATACTTGGCAGAACTCAAGGCGCTAAAGACGTTTACTGGGGAACTGAATGCCATCTGGGATGAGACTGAAAACAATTTGCCTCCTTTTACTGTATCTCTATATACTAATGCAACCCTTGGACCTCCTTCCTCTTTGCTTACCTCTCCTCTGCTTTTTGTCTTTTATTTATTTATTTGTTTGTTTGTTTGCTGGGTTTTCCCCCGAAAAAATACCACAAGAACATAACGTATATCAAAGGCCAGACCTGGTGAAGTGCAAAGTCAAAAAAGGCTAAAATGGCAGCAAACAAGAGAGCTGAGCCTGGGACAGGAAGTCGACTTCTTGCTCAGGTAGAGACCTCCATTATCTCATACAAGACTAAATACAGCCACCAGCTACTCACTCCCCAAACCCCAGAGCTCTACAAAGTCAAAGAGTTGTTTCCTCAGTTAAGCTAAAACCAGTTTTCAATAGGCATTAAAAGGAAACGTACCAAGAAATTTCCACATGATTCAGTGATTTTTGGAAAAATTCTTTCCAAATTAAATTTTTAAAACAAACAACAACAAAGAGTAATAAGAGAATTTTGCAAAAGAATTTTTCTTTACATTCTTTACCTCATCCTGATCCAACATCTGTTGCTTTAGTTTCTCAGCCAGCTGGCTCTGCTGGTTAATTTCATCATCCTGAAACGAAACATCATGTTTTATTTCTTTTAGTTAGTTATGTCATTCTTGCTGTCCTGGTTTCCCAATGACAGTCAGATACAGTCAGGATGCCAGCTGTGTGCTGCTAATAAGATGCATCAGGCATCTTATCCCACAGAAACAAGACTGGTTCTGGGATGCTGACTGGGCTAAAGTCTTTACCCACCTTTTCTAAGAAGATAAAGTATCTGGGTATTCTGGGAAACAAATATCCTACACATTCAACCCAGTTTCCATTCAGATGGAAATCAGACATTTTGGGCTTGGGAATTGAAAAAATATGTTGAGCTAGCCTTCCCAATTCAAAGATGTTAGCATTGACTTCCTAGTTTGAAAAGTAAGGGAGGGAATTTCTAACACTCTACAGCACCATATATTCAGGTCCCAATCTTGTCAAACACCTCAATGACCAGGCATGTTGTCATAAGATAGACAGAGACTAGCTTTTCTACTTCAAAACTCCGACTTGAGAGCTTGGGAAAATATTTACTACTGAATTAATTTTTGGCATTAGCAGATCTCTCTCTTAATTAGAAGTCAATTTCCTGATCAATTTGGAAAAGGAATAAAAAACTCAAAGAAGCCATGGGTGCAGAAACATTAATGCTTCCTCTCAGTCACTGCAACGGGAGAGGACCCTCCCTGGGCAAGGTGGCTCTCATCGTCTGCCACTAGGTGTTGCTGGCACAATAGCCAGGGCTCTTGCCTCTAACTGCCCGATGTAAAGGCCTCTGCTCAGCCCCAGACACTGCCCCAGTACAGGCAAAGCAGCAGGCGGACAATGCTCAAGGACAATGCTCAGTCTTCACCACAAAGGTTTCTATGAATTCAAATGCAATTTTGAAGCAGAGCTGGTGAGAATGACAATTTGACATCACATGCCTCTGCCTTGAAATATGAGAAAATCCTATCTGCTGATATATCCAGAGTCCAAACCTCAAGCAGAATCGGCTTCTCTCCAGTACCACTCGGGCCCTCTTGGTGCCACATGCTGCCCAGGTGTTTTCAGCAGCAGCCCTAAGAAACCTGCACTGTGTCTTGCGCCTTACCCAGAGATGATGTAAGAGGGGTAAATAAGCTCACAGACCTGACTTATAGCTTTTTTATGGGATATTCACCAGCTTCGGTTTAGTCTATGCAGACATTTAAATCAGATAAACCCAGTGTCACAACTAAAGTTTTCTATGGGGCACATTCTTAAATCATGGTTACAGAATCTTTATCTCCTTTTCTTTTGTATAGAAAATCCTTGCCTTCTGTTCTCAAGGAGATCTCATTTCTACTGAACTTTTACACCAATAGTTCTTGAATGATTCTACAAAACACTCAAGACTTTCTTTCCCAAGTCAGATTTCTGGCAGGAGAATGAGGGAAATTACAGTAGAGTGAAAATGCCAAAATACAGTCTTCCACAACTATTTTGTAGACCACATTTTCTTATCTACTTTGTAAATTTAGAATGTCACTTACCAAGCACAACTTTCTAACTTCTGTTCCTTGGCACATAAATATTAAACAACTTGACATAAAAGGCCCAAGGATTTTAACATCCAGGAGCTGCCATCTCTTCCCTCGGGACACATAAGCAAGGGCTCAAAGCGATATAAATCATGAGACAGCGCCAGCACTTTGTTCTTATACTCTGTTCATTTCAAAGCCTGAAGACACAAGCTTCCTCCCTGAGAGGTGACAAGCTGG